AGCACCTTGAATTGCACCCGGAAGCAAATCGGCAACCAATGCAGCTCCTGCAGGAGAGGTGACACATGTGCACACCAGGGTCTGCACAAAACCACGCGGGCCATTGTATTTTGCACCAACTGGAGCTTCCGGATGCTCTTCAAGGGCAGCCCCATGTAGAGCGCGTTGCAATAATCAAGACGGGTAGCGACTAAGGCATGAGTGACTGTGAGTAGGGACTGCTGGTCCAGGAAAGGGCATAACTGATGCACAACCCGCAGTTGCGCAAAGGCCTCCTGGCTATGACCGCCACCACGACCGCCACAAGATCTTATGATCTTTTTGCAACAAGCAATTTTAACTGCGGTTGTTAAGTGAATCATGCAATCGTTAAGTGTATCTGGCTTCCCCTGTTGACTTTGATTGGCAGAAACTTTCTGGTAGGGTCGCAAATGGCAATCACACAACTCCAGGATGCTGCAACAGTTGTAAATACATGTCAGTAACCCAATTTTGATAAGATGACCCTAGGGATGCTGCAATGGTTGTAAGTGTGAGGGTTGGTTGTAAATCACTTTTTTCAGTATTGTTCTCACGGTTCCAAGCAATACATCCATAGCAAACAGAACTCCAAGGCAAGCAGATTCCTCAAAGAACAGGTTTATTGGATATATCGTATTGGCACAGACTGGTAAAAACAGACTCTAAAGATTCCCATGGTTTTCACCTAATTAAAAGTAAAGTTTTCCCCCCTTTCCCAAATAGTCACATGGTCCAATCAAGGTGCTGTCCAGTTGCTTGGAAACTTCACTCCTCTCTTCAACCACCTGTGGGAATGTCTTTGGTTCTCAGGGGAAACCATTTTGTTTTGGCTACAAAACCCCAGCTATCTCTATTCCTCCTGCCTATCCCTCAGCACCATTGTGGTAACACTGAAGCCTCAAGATGGCCTCAGACAGTTGTTCTAAGTTTGAACAGTTGCTAAACAAATTCTTGTAAGTTGAGGACTACCCCATGAAACATAAAACTACCTTAAAGCCATTTAAAACAGTTAAATATAAACTAAAAAAACAAGATGACAACATGGAACATGTCATAATATTATACATGATGCAGCCTACGCATAAGCTCTCTGTCGACAGAGATCCTGAAAGTCATGTTTTAAGGAATTTCTGGAAGGTTACAATGGTTGGGGCCAGTCTCATGGCGGGGTGGGGGGTGGAGATTGGTGTCCAAAGATTGGGTGACAAAGACTACCATCTACCAAACAGGTTTATACTAAATACCAAATCCAGATACTCCATGTCATGGGTTAACATAGATATCTAAAAACATACATTCATGTAAATGTTGGGCAGATTCCATTTAAAAGCATATGCAGTATTCTGATATTTTCACAAATTAACAAAGTACATGTTTTGCCCTAGACAGAAGAATGGTGAAAAGAATATACATATTTGGTATACATATTTGGAATAAAACGTGACATAAATTTACAAAGCTGGTATGGATTCAAGGACTAAACTTTGAATTTGCTGGCATGAAAGAAGATTCCTATTCATAATGTAATGGGAAATTCTACATTCTCTGTACCTAGATCATATAAGCTGCTCTCTAGAATGTAAGTTATTCACTATAAAATGTGTTCAAACAGTGTGATAGAAAACGCAGCAAAAGTGAGTTTACATGACACTACACCAGGCTAAAATGGGTTTTGTAATGCGTGATCTATTGTGCTACAAGACTAGAATTCATTTATTAACATTTGATTGGAACCAAGGCATTATGTTAATCTATAGTATTAGAATTAGAATTTTTTATTGGCCAAGTGTGATTGGACACACAAGGAATTTGTCTTGGTGCAAATGCTCTCAGTGTACATAAATGAAAAAAATACATTCATCAAGAGTCATAAGGTACAATACTTAATAATAGTCATAGGGTACAATAAGCAATCAAATCATACTAGGAAACAGTCAATATAGATCGTAAGGATACAAGCGACAAAGTTACAATCATACAGTCACAAGTGGGAGGGGATGGATGATAAGGAGTGATGAGCAGATTAACAGTAATAGTGGTGCAGGCTTTGTAAATAGTTGGACAGTGTTGAGGGAAATATTTGTTTAGCCAAGTGATGGCGTTTGGGAAAAAACTGTTCTTGTGTCTAGTTGTTCTGGTGTGCAGTGCTCTATAAGCGTTGTTTTGAGAGATTGTTTATTTGGTCAAAATATGTGAGCGCAGCAATTCTTGTTTCATTATCCTAGTTTAGGATGTTATCTGAATCTGTCCAGAGTGTCAGTATTCATAGATTGCATTGTCTAATCTTATTGCTTGATTTGTGGGGCCCAGATACCACTGCCTTCTCTTGTAACTTTCCTCTGTTTTCCTGTTTTTCCCCTGTGTTTTTCTCCTAGTTCAGAAAATCCATTAAGTAGAGAAAAATGGAATATCTTTACAATGACTTATGACTGATAGCACTAATTGCTAGCTACTTAAAAGCACATACTCGCTCAGAACATTACTTTATGCTCATTAATGACCTAAATCTTCTTTTTATTCATATTGATAGCTGGCCTTCTCTAAAATAAGCTTGCAGTCATCTCAGTTGTGCTCATAACAAGATCATATGTGGTCCAGCAGTTAATTAATTGCACTTAAATAGCATCATAGGCACATGATAGTTAGAAACTTCAAGGGAGACAGAAAGACACAAAGTTGTGCAAAAGAATTGGAGTAAGAAGTAATGTACCAGTTTTTCCCTCCCTTACTCTACATCGGAGCATCAGAAGAGGCTGTGTAGGTTTTAAACAGCAGCAATAGGAGGCAGTAAATGGAATGATTCATGGAAGTTGTTTTCACTGTCCTGGGAAAATAATACTTTGTTCTTAATTGGGTTGCACTCACTCAGCATCCCTACATACTTTGGGAATGAGCCTAAAACTATTTTCACTATTGACCTACCAATCTTATTAGATTTATATTCTGGCATTCCTCCCGGAACTCAAGAAAGTCTACGTGCCTAGCTCTCTTTCCAGTTCTTGCTCACAGCGACAATCCTGTGAGGCAGGTTTTGCTGAGAGACAAGGAAAATATATGGGGAGCTAGAACCTCCTATGACAGGAATGCTGACAGTGTAAATAATCCACTGTGACCTTGCACAGAGATGGGAAGCAGAAAGAAGGGCATCCTGCAAGCTGAGGAAAAGGAGGGAGGAAAAGGTGGCATTGAAGGTTATAACAGGGTAACAACCACCATACTGTCAGAAGACAATTAACTGTTCAGTTCTAGTGAGCAATAAAGATTCTGCAGTGGCTGTACTAGGGGACTTTAGCTTAGATGTAGGCAGATGAAAGAGGAGGTTCTGACATTGAATACTAAGCCACACTTTTGGTGATGTCTATGCTAGAGTTATTCCTGGACAGGGATAGAGTCATTGGGCTGATGCAATACATGTGTCAGTTATGATGTGGGAGTTGCTTAATGCATGATGTAAAAACTGCAAGGAATGCAACAAACAACAGCAAGTGAGGTGGCTAGCTGCTATCATAAAATACTGTGTTTTCCTGAAAATAAGACCTGGGGGGGCTCCAAAATAAACACCAGGGCTTATTTGTTTGGGGGGGGTGTCTTATTTTTTTCCATGTAGGGGAAGCCCACTTCTGTTTGCTCGCGGTACAACAGGGCAGGAGGCTGGGCGGTGTGCTAGTGGCGCCACCACGAGGCAGGTGAGGGTGGAGCTGTTCCACGTGCCCCGCACTGGCTTACTTCAGGGCCCCTGCAGCCAGTCCATCCATGCCCCAACACCTGCCTCGCCTTGTGGCTGCATCATGGGCACTCCATTGTGGCCGTGAGCAAGCAGAAGAAGTGGGCCGGCGGCTATGTGGGTTCCTGCTGAACATGGCTGCTGGTGCTGCCACTGCGAGGCAGTTGTCGGGATGTGGATGGCCTGGCTGTGGGGGCCCTGAGGTAAGATAGTGCGGGCGAATGGAGCAGCTCCACCCCTCCCACCTGCCTTGCCGCACCTCGTGTCAACAGCACTATGAGCAACCAGGTGGAATGGAAAGCCGGGCAGCTGCGCAAGCTCTTAAGTAGGGCTTATTTTGGGGAGGTAGGGCATATATTAGGTGCATACATAACAATCATGCTAGGTCTTATTTTCAGGGTAGGTCTTATTTTCGGGGACACATGGTACCACAGTCTTCGCTGATTGCCATTTTGTTCCTGGGCTAATTGAAATCCCAGGAAGATTTACGGTATATAAGTAAACTCTTTTAGTCAGCAGCATCTGCAAAATTGGATTACCGTGTCCAAACTGGCAAGATGGTAAACAGAATGTCGCAATAAAATCCATCGGCTTGCATTGTGACACTGCCATTTTGCTGTCTTTGATACACAAACCCTTGGAAGTGGCTATCCATGGAAATTATGTTTGATGTCAACCAAGAAGAAGCTTCTCTGCATTGTTTTGGAATTTGTTCAGCATGTATATCATGTTGAGCACTGTTATATTCATCTCTGCATTCGAGAATTTGTGATAGGGCTGCCACATTAATGGATGTCTGCCGATTAGGTTGGTTGTTACTGACATGGAGGCGCCATATCAGTATAACAAATTATGCGAGGGCCTGTGATTGCCACACATATCCCTTTTATTTTCTGTCTCTTGGGAGTGTTAGTCTTACCCAATGTCATACTGAGTATTATTTATGACATGGGACAGACATAACCGGTGCCTCCTAATTATAGCTGAACTCTAATCCCCAGAAGGCCCAGCCAACGTAGCAAATAATCAGGGATCCTGAGAGTAGTATGTTTCCAACTCTATCCCAAAGCATTGGAACCATGAATGTGGGTGTTTGGGGTGTGTTTTTATGTTTGGCATGAATGCGTGCAGTGCATGAATGAGTGAGTGAGTGAATGAATAAATGAATGCCACTAACTTCCAACTGGAGGAAGATTGCAAGTGCAACTAGTCTTCGCATAATTAGAAAGCATGCATTTGTGTTTCATCTTACCAGATACAACTGATGACCACACATTACTATGGTTGTTGAACCACATCCGTTTGGGAATCCCAGAGCTCATCATCCAGATTCGGCACCACAAACACACCCGGGTCTATGCATTCTTTGTCACAGCAACTTATGAAAGGTAAGTCCTCTTGGAGGTTGGCAAGAGGCATAGATAGGCAAGTTGGCAAGAGTAGATGGGCAATAAAGACTTAGCGTTTCTCAACCTTTGAGCATGCTAAGTGGAGAATTCTGGGAGTTGAAGTTCAAATATCCCAAAGTTGATAAGGTTGAGAAACGTTGGTCTAAAGATATTGAAAATGGATATATTTTCCAGTATTACATGGTGCAGGCTTATATAGCAACAGCAATAGCACTTAGACTTACATACCGCTTCACAGTGCTTTTACAATCCTCTCTAAGCGGTTTACAGAGTCGGCCTATTGCCCCCAACAATCTGGGTCCTCATTTTACCCACCTCAGAAGGATGGAAGGCGGAGTTAACCTTGAGCCTGGTGAGATTCGAACTGTCAAACTGCAGGCAGCCAGCAGAAGTAGCCTGCAGTACTGCATTCTAACCACTGTGCCACCATGGCTGTATAGCAGGAGTCTTCAAACTACAGCTTGCAGGCCAGATATGGCCCTCCAAAGCCATTAATCCAGCCTGTGCGGGACCACAAGGCTGCCCCGTCCACATCGTCCCACCTAACTGCTAGCTCCCACCTGCCTTCTGGAGGCCGAGGAGGCCAAAAATGGGTCACAGAAGCCTCCCTGATCTCCAAAGAGAGAGGGGGAGAGAAAGAGAGAAAGACACAAACACAAACACACAAACAGAAGTCCTTCACACACACCCCAAGGCAGCCACATTCCTTCACTAACTTGCTTTCCACCCCCAGGAGCATAACAAATTAAAGTTTAATTTATGTGTATTATTTAATAGACTGCTAAATTAGCCATGCCCACCCAGTCACATGACCACTTAGCCATGCCCACCCAGTCACATGACCACTTAGCCATGCCCACCCAGCCAGTCCAGGCCCCCCAATAGTCTGACGGACCATGAATTGGCCCTCTGTTTAAAAAGTTTGAGGATCCCTACTCTATAGAATCAGACTACATATGGTCCTCCATTTATGACCACAGTTGAGCCCAAAATTTCTTTTGCTAAGTGAAACATTCATTAAGTGAATTTTGCCCCATTTTACGATCTTTCTTGCCCCCATTTGTTAAGTGAATCATTGCAGTTGTTAAGTTAGTAAAATGGTTGTTAAAGTGAATCTGGCTCCCCCATTGACTTTTCTTGTCAGAAAGAACCAAAAGGTGATCACATGAGCAACCATCATGAATATGAATCAGTTGCTACGTGCCCAAATTGTGATCACATGACCATGGGAATGTTGCAATGGTTGTAAGTGTGAAAAATGGTTATAAGTCACTTTTTTCAGTGCCGTTGTATCTTTGAATAGTCACTCCACTTGACCCAGGGTTAACTTCTCTAACACCAACAAATCTCAATGGTGTCAGGAGACAGTCTCTGTGCTATCACCTTTTCATCTGGAGAACTTGGAGTTGAACCCAAGAGCTTATGTATTCAAAATGTAAGACTTACGGGAAAGTTGGCTGAAAAGATATTTCTTCCTGGTCTTTTAATGTAGGACAGTGCCAGGCCCAAACCCAGAGATGACACAGCAAAATCCAACTGAATTCCACTCTTTACTTCCTTATACCTAATGGACAGAATCTTGCCAAACAAAACTATAAGTAGTCCTCTATTTTAAACCATTCATTTAATTAATATGCAAAATTTTGAATGACACTGAAAAAAGTGACTTATGACCAGTACTCACGCTTACGACTGTAGCAGCATTCCCATGGTCACAGGATCAAATTCTGGTTGCTTGGCAACCGGCATGTATTTATGATGATTGCCACATCCCAGGGTCATGTGATCATCATTCATTACCTTCCCAACAAGCAAACTCAATGGAGGAAACCCAGATTTGCTTAACAACCACATGATTCACTTAACAAATGCAGTGAAAAACGCTTAAGAATCATGGCAATAAAAGGTCATCAAATCGGGTGCGACTCACTTAACTACTGACTTTAATAATGGAAATTCTGGTCTCAATTCTGGTTGTAATTCAAGGACTACCTGTATAATCTTCTAATCAAGGGGTGTCAAACTGCATTTCTTCGAGGGCCGAATCCATGGGCCAGCTGGGCGGGGAGAGAGACGGGATGGACACCTGCAGCACCCTGCTGGCCAAAATGGGGCACAGGTTAGGGTTAGGGCTCTGCCCCCACACCTGGAGGCTGTCCAGGCTGAAAATGGGCTGCACGGGGGCTGTGCACGGGCCCCGTGCAGCCCATTTTGACTGCCAGAGGCACAGCAGGCCAGTCCTTTGCTACTTCCAGGTCGGCCTTGAGTTTGACACTTGTGTTCTAATCCTGAGATATTTTAGTGTGTAGCTGTCTTGAACCTCTTCTCTCCTCTCTATAAGAGGCTCCACAGTTTCTCTGAGAAAGCTCAGTGTTGCCAAAACTCTGTTGTAAACACTCCTCCAGGTGCCTTTCCATCACAGAAAGATTGTGCAGAATGCAACATACTGTAGGTAATATAATCTGTGACATTCTTGTGGTCTCTTAAAGGTCATCTGCTGAGTCCAGTTTCTCCTTAATCAGAGTAAACATAAAATAGTAAAACTACTTGCCGAGTTTCAGAAAGCAGTAGATGGATTTTATCATCTTACTATATTCGACATTTAGTTTTTAGTTTACTTTATTGTCACTGCACCTCGTACAACAAAATCAAACACCATCTTCAGTGCACATCATGACCACGACCATGAAAATAAACACAAACACACATCCTTCACCCTTCACACATTGAACCGGAATGTTGTAGATCAGTTTTTTTCACTCTAGTATCTTACATATTTGTACTGAAGGGCACCAATTTGCAGACATGTGTATACATATAAATCAGTACAGGACATATTTACTTATTTATTAAATTTATATGCCACCCACCTCACTGTCAGGTGCCTCTGGGAAGAGAAAAGCCACATTATTCCAGCAAACATAGAAAACCCAAAACAAGGTAGTTGCTCTTCTGGGTTCGGCGTGCGCATGTGCACCCGGCATCTGGTCTTCATGCCCGTGGGAGCGCTGGAAACTGGAATAGCAGCTCCCTGGTGCGCATACGCATTAGAAACCAGAATACTAGGTGGCTGGTGTGCACGTGTGCTCTGGGAAGCTAAGCTTCCTGCTTCAGGCGCTCCCACACACGTGCGTCGTAGAGCTGCTCTTTTGGTTTCTGGCGCGCGCATACACGCACGCGCTCCGATTGGTTCGCCACCACTGTTCTAGGCTCTCCAGCCAGCGTAGTGAAGGAAAAAGAATGCCGGGAACTGTAGTTTAACAGCTTGAAATGTAACAAGTTTAGTTTTTTTAATTCTGGATTTTCTTAGGGTCTTTTTCCCCCATTGCTAAATTGAAATATTTTTCACCTATCTTTTGGTCAGCAAAAAAACTACTGCCGTGAATTCCAGTACCAGCTAACATTTTTTTTTTTGCAGACTTCCATTATCAAGATCATCTTTTCTACAAAACAAAAGCTGGAGAGATGATAAATCCCAGGGTGAACTTCATTTTCTCACTCTCCTGTTTGCCCTTCTCTTGGCAGTTTGCTCCGGGGGGCGGACGAGATTGGCTTGCGGAAGCCTGTGAAGGCTGAATTTGGGGGTGGCATGCGCAGTTTCTCCTGCGAGGAAGATTACATCTACGAGAACATAGAAAACGAACTCTATTTTTTCACTTCTCAGGTGAGTCCTCTGGGGCAGGGAAGAGGAGAAAATCTCCTAGCAGTGATGATGTTACCTAGTTTGGGTGATGAAACGTTTGCAAGAAAACAAGCGAGCTCAGGGAACACCAAGGAACCCTCATGTCAACCCTGAGCTACTCCCTTTATTAGAAAAATCCCCCTTCCCTTTGATTTTAGTTGCTGTTTGGTAGAAAATCCATTGATTGTTAAGGACCTCTGCAGACGATCCTGCTGGGTAGATTGAAAGAATTGCTAGGTCAGACAAACTCCGGGTTCCACAAACAGTTATTACTTCAGTGCTCTCAGGAAAGGAGGACAGAGACCTCTCTGATCTGTCCCCAAGGAGCTGTTTTTTATTAATAGTTTGCCACTCTGCAGGGAAGCTCTGTAGAGTCCTTATAGCTAATGGCCCTCTGTTTCTCCTTCTACAATGAACTCGGTTAAGACCATCAGTGGGATCCTATCTATTCCACTACCAGTTTGGTGATCGCGTGCGCATGCACACACACCCAACATGTGCCACCTAACACGCACACACAGCTTTCCACATACTAGCTGAGGCCTGCAGCACCAATCAGCTGAGAGGATAAACAAGAGAAAAGCACAGGGGTGGGCAGAAGGGCCAATCCTGCGTTTTTTCTTTCCTTTCTCCTCTCAGTTGATTGTCAGAGGCTTATTTTACTACTGGTAACATACCACCACTGGTTAAGACCTAGGCCTATGTGTTGCGTTCATGTCCCAAAGCTTTGGATGAGGCATCTGAACACCGCCCACAAATTGCAATGTTTATTGAAGGCAAAGAGGGAGGATCATGTTGACAGGATTGTATTCTTTTAGTGTGAAATTCAAAAAAATTCAGTGGAAACGAAATCAAATGTCGTTCAAGGCTAAGAATGCCTCATGGCTAGGCTTGTCATAATCCAGATTTCCGAATCTGGCAGCCTAATTAGCACAATATTTCAATTAGACTAATAGACGAATTCACCTACTTTGCATTCATTGGATGCATTTTGAACACAGAGAGGACCTTCCTCTGGCTCTCCTTTCTTACCCCACAATCTCCATTTTTGAGGGTTTGGTTTCAACAAACTTTCTTCCCTCTGGGAATCCCATAGGAGCATCCACTTAGCAACTCGTTTTTTCCCACTTAGGGCAGAGATCTCCAAAGTTGGCAACTTTAAGATTGTGGACTTCAACTACCAGAATACCTGAACCAGCCATGATGGCAAGGGAATTCTGGGAGTTGAAGTTCACAAGTCTTAAAGTTGCCAACTTCGGAGAGCCCTGGTTCAGGGCTTCCCCTCCTAACTCTTGATTTTTCCCGTGCTGTGTACCAAAACAGGGTTTGTCTGGTTATAGGGCACCCCTATCCATAGCCTCCATACTTACACTCTGCTGCTCCCAGCTTTATCACACTTGCAGAACAGACCTGCACCACACAAAGCCATAATTCCCGCATGGACAGCTTTGTTGAGTGGGGTTATTTCCTCAGTCCTGGAACAACCTGTCCTCTGCCTTTGCTTTGGTTGGAGTTGTGTGTCCCAATTTACAACGAGTGGAACATTGCGATCCAGTAGGGGAGAATTAATGGCTTTCAAGAGAGCTGTAGAGACACGATCCAGTCACGGACATGACTTTGAATGAGAGGTTGTTAACCCAAACTTTTCATGGCTTTTCCATCCTGCTTTCAGGAACGTCAAAACATCATCAGGTATTGGCTGGAGAACTTGCGGGCCAAGCAGGGTGAAGTGCTGCATAACATCCACTTCCTGGAAGGGCAGCCAATCAGTGAGTTGGGGATGGGGGCCTGCAGATGGGATGTACTCAGTACTGTGCCTCTGCCAGTTAAAACCAGAATTGGGTTGGATTTTTTTACGCGTTTCCTTGCCATGCTGAATCTTCTCTGTGCTATGTCTTTTGCATTTGCTCAATGCTAGCAAAGTCTGGTTTTGAAACGAAATATTTATTTACCTATTATTCAAATTTCTATAGCCACCCTTCTCGCGTGAATGGCCTTGGGCAACTTACAAACGATTGAAACAAATGTAAAAGCAAACGATAGAACCTTTTAAAAACAAGAGGAAAATAATGTAATAGCATATAAAATAGATACTAAATACATAAAACGTACAGCCCATAGTAGTCCTTTACTTACGACCATACATTATGCCGCTGTTTCAAAGTTGCGTCACTTCTGAAAAAAGTAATTTATGACCAGTCCTTCCACCTATGGGCAGCATCCCCTTGGTCACATGATCCAAATTTGGTGCTTGGCAACAGGTATTTACAATGGTTGCAGCATCGCGGGGATTATATGATCATCAGCCAGCCTTTAACAAGTAGAGTCAATGGAGGAAGGCAGATTCACTTAACAATTGCATGATTCATTTAACAACCATTGTGATTTGCTTAATGAATGCAGCAAAAAGGTAAAATTGGGCGCAACTCACACACTGACTGCCTCACTTAATGACAGAATGTTTGGGACCAATTGTGGTCATAAAGCAAGGACTACCTATAATCCGTTCATCAAAACAATCAGCACAGCCACTGTTCCCCATGCTTGTTGGTAAAATGTCTTTGAGACTGTGCAGAAAGCCAGAAGGGGATATAATGGCTGCATCAAATTACAATAATAACTAATCTCATAAATCCAGGCATCCTCATGTCTATTAATTCGGATTAGTCTTATCTGTGATTTATTTTAACTGAAGAGTGGAAGGATTGGGGTTAGCAGCTAGAATACTTGGGCCAAACTTGGCCCTTTGAAGGGAAAGTCTCAAATCCTCACCTGTCGATCTTGAAACAAAACTGCTGTAATTGGAATTTTAGCTGAACATATTATCTGAGACAGGAACCACGTCTTCCTTCCTAAGTAAATTGAATCGTAAATCAAGACCATTTTTAAAAAGAACATTTAATACTCACTTGCCAAATTAGATGCCTTTGCTCCTTACTTTCCCTGCCCCCAATTCCCATGTTCAAGCCATCCCTGAAATTGATCATGCTGGAAAGAATTTTAATCAAGTGAAAATTTAAGTAGGGCAAAGTGTAGAAATTGCAAATGCAGGAGAATGAAGAAAGTTAACAGAAGAACATTTGTCTTTGCCTTCCTTCACCTCTGGACAGCTATGGTGTGGTTTAAATATTTTATAGAAATGAAGTAATACAAATTTCCCTGAAATTTGTGGGGTAGGGTAGGGTGAAGTGGGGGCTAGATGAGGGGCTGGCTAGCTTAAAGCACCCTTGTCTTAGATGAAGATGCTATAAAGTCAGAGAAGGTTGTCTTTCGGTGGCTGGAAATTATGATTACAGTACAGGTAGTCCTGGACTTACAGCCATTCGTTTAGCGACTCTTCGAAGTTAGAATAGCACTGGGGAAAAGTGACTTATGACCATCCTTGCACTTATGACCATTACAGCATCCCCACAGTCATGTGATCAGAATTTGAGTGCTGGGCAACCGGTATGTATTTATGACAGTTGAAGCATCCTGAGGACATGGACTCGCCATTTGCAACCTTCCCAGCTGGCTTCCAACTACAGCCACATGATTCGCTTAAAAAACTACAGCGATTCATTTAACAACTGTGGCAGGAAAAAGGTCGTAAAATCGGATGCAACTCGTTTTAACAACTGCCTTGTTTGGCAATGGGAATTATAATCCCAGTTGTGATCATAAACTGAGGGCTATCTGTATTTGCACATGAGAAAACCAGATAGCACCGAGCAGGAAAACATTACACAGGAATCGTACCTAGTTCAAAAATGGAGATGGAATAAATGTGAGGGAGGAATGTGAGGAGGAATAATAAAGATACATTAGTTCATTAGTTATTATAAGAGGACCAAGCATTAGGTCCCACACATGTTATTTTAGTCTGTCGTAATCATTGCTGTCAAAAGCATCAAGGCACATAAAAAGATGAGAGCTTTGTTCATCCTGACTTTTTTTTCACCGCATTGTGCAAACACCTTGAACACTATAATAATATATCCTAAATATATATTAGTATGCACTTGAAAGGAAGATGATGTTGAATTTAAAACAGTACCCTCTAAAAGAGATTAAGAAGAGGGGGGAAGAACCCTGCTTATCCTTCCAAATGCCACACAATTAATCCTAACACTGCTATCTTTTAGAAAATCCCTTAAAATGTATCACATACTGCAGACCATGGTGGAAAGCAATTGTTGAGGTAATTCCCCACTAGGAGAATGAGCGCATACAGGGAGACGTATAGAGAGTAGTGTTTGAATAATACAGACAGAGCACACAGATACACTGTACAGTAAGTATAGGTTTTTACTTCCAGAAAGGTTTAAACAAAGTTCAAAATAGGCAGTCCAAAGTCTTTCACAGGTAAGATCAGTCAGTTGTTAGTTCAGGAATAATCCAATAACAAATTCCAGTGTCAAAAACAGTTCAGTATCAGACTTACATCAAATCCAGGAATATCAGTCAATTAGGAAAAATGGAGGAACGCCAATACTTTCCAACAGAAGGAAACAGATACACTCTCTTCTGAGACTCAGACTAAGACAAACCAGGTTTCTGGCTCCATCTTATGGCCGTTTCAGAACCCACACCTAATTACAATTTTGCATTTTCTTAAAGATACAGTTTTAAAATGTTTATCCTGGTTTATATATTTCTAACCCAAATAGCTGTTAGATGACTCATATTCCTAACAGCAATTTTATCACCCCATGCTGATTCTGGGCTGTTATTCCTTAGTTCTTGGCATTTCCTTTTCCAATATAGTAATATATCCATTGTTTTTCGCTGTTTGTCCCCATTTCCTGCTTGATTTATTGTTCTAATATGTTGCATGATGCCTAGATTGGCTTGTTTAATTGTGTCAGCTTATATAAACTGAACAAACAAAGGAAATTTGGATAAAATCCAGATCATTTTTTGAGGGCCATAACACACATCACATATTTATTATCCTTTCTCTCTCTTTTTTTTCTTTGCATTTTGTGTTCAGTTGTTGCTCTTTCATATTGTGGTATTTAAACTTGGATCAAGCTTAAATTGTATTGATTGACCTCATGCACCAAATGACTGAGTTTGCCTCTGGGCCTGACTTGAGCATAGTTAGAAAATAAACAGGGTGAGTGGGGTTAATCTCTTGTCTGAAAGGGTTCACACCTGTAAGGCAAACAAAACATAGGCAGAACAGGACAATCCAGAACCCTCTGAAGGCAGGACGAGGAACTATAGTGAGGAAAAGCCTCAATGTTTGCCTTCTAGTAAATCACTGCTATTTTATTAATAGACCAAAACAGAAACACCATTGTAGCTCCTTGACATTAATGCTCATGGAACGTTTTCAACAGTCTGAATGGGCCCAGTGGTGGGATTCAAAAATTTTACCACCGGTTCAGTGGGCGTGGCTTGGTGGGTGGGCTCTGCACATGTGCACATGTGCCAAATACGCACTTTGTGCAGGCACAGAGGCATTCCAACTCACCTCCTACAAGCCTGCACTCTCCCTGTCGCTTCAGCAGCTGCTGCGCGGCACTCTGCTGTGCCGCGCAAAGCAGCTGCACTTCAAAAGCAGGAAATAAAGGTGAATATGGGAGCCCGAGTGGGCAGGCAGGCCCAACAGCAGAGCGGTGGTTCAGTCTCTGCTGCTCATCGGCACTAGTGGCTCAGCAGAACTGGGCTGAACTGGTAGAATGCCACCACTGGAATGGGCCTTCCATCTCAAAAGGCTGGCCGGCTCCCTTCTTACTATGGAATGCATTTCCAGATTCAGTCTGTTTTGTGGCCTATTGCTAGCACAGTAGCTCTCTACCGAGGGATATGATTGACCACGGGAGTGCCAAGGAATGGGGCCCAGTGGGCTACGGTTAGTGTAGAGAGCTAAAAAAGAGAGATTTCTGGATTTTTGCTCTGCTCTGTTCTTCTTCCTTCTTTCTTTTCACAGTCCCTGAGCTGGCTGCTCGTGGTATCCTTCAGCAAGTCTTCCCCATCCATGAGCAACGGATTCTGAATCGGCTGATGAAATCGTGGGTACAAGCCATTTGTGAAGCCCAGCCTTTGGGTATGGCCCCTTGACTCACATAGGTCTCTGCCTAGAAGTTTTATTAGAGTCCTACCTCCACCTATTTTTTTCTCTCCCTACATTCTACTAAAGTAGCTCACGAGATTTGTTTTGCTTTATTAGAGTTGAAAATTAATGCTCTCCCACCCCACCATTTTAAATCGTAAGCTGCCTAAGTGAGTCAGGGCTATTGCTTGCCCAGCACAAAGGCCCTGATTCTCTAACATGATCTCAACCCAACCATTTCTCTGTAAATGGGTAAAGGAACTAAATTTATTTCATGCTGAGTCAGATCAGCATAAGCATTTTACAAAACAGACTTCACTAAGCTCGGAAAACCAGATCTGCTATAATTCAGGCAAACACAAGATGGCAGTAAAGGATTATTATTTTTTTATCTCTTTGCTGCCATCTATTGATTATACAGACCTTGCAATTCAAATATAGTATAGTGGCAGTATCAGGAGCAGCTAGAAGTTGTATATTATTTTCTAAGTGTGTGAAGTTGCCTTCATGTTAAATATGAAAAAAGATACTCAATGGAAGTGAAAGAAGCTCCGTATGATGGGGGGAAGATTGGAAGTAAATTATTATTGCAAAAGATGAGGAAGAAAGATATATAGAGAAAAAATAGTTTAAAAACATAGTGAAAGTATAAAAATTGGTTGAGGTCAAAAGAGGTAGAGAAAATACAGAGTTTTTTTGTAAGAGAGAGAATGATTTGAAGTTTTATATGAATCACAGCAATCTAGACCTATCTTGGTAAAATATTTATTTATTTACTTTTTATGGCCACCTATCTCACAAGAAGTGCCTGTGTAGCAACATACCAAAAAGATATAAAGCTAACATGTCAAAAAGTAGTCATTAGTAAAAAGTTAATAGTTACTTCTATATTAAATTCATATGTTCACCCAATATATGGAAAATGAAGAATGGATGGAGATGTTTTAGGTGAAAATGCTGGCAGAGAAGTATGTAGTCTCTTGAGAGGAATCTTTGCCTCTGGGAAAAAGTAGTCAGAAAATCTCAGCAGGTGGTAGCATCTCCCTGAACTTGGCTGACCTTGAAACAAGCAGAGCTGGGTAGTATTTACTGTAGGTGTGGGGGCAAACTATGAGGTAGATCGGGTAATCTAAAAATATTTCAGAAGACGTTAATGGCAAATGATTTCAATATTGCATCCAAGAAAAGAGCCAGTTGTGAGAATTTAGCCTGACTCCCAGTTAAGCTGTATCATTTGTCTCCTAAGGGTCTCCTTAGCATAGAGGGGCATTAGCAGCCATCACATTCCCGTCAATTTAGTCTAGTATTTGTCAACCTTGGCAACTTGGCTGAAATGTTTTAGAATGTAGTAGAATGGCAGCCAGTGAGGCTACTGTATGCAGGTAATCCTCAACTTACAACTGTAGTTGAACCCAGAATTATGGTTGTAAGTCATTGCAATTGTTAGCTGTTCCCAGACCCTATTTTGCACCATTTTTGTGTCTAATGTCTGCTCTAGTTTCATTGTGATTCTTAATCATTATTTCTTGCATCTTAGATATTGCTTCTTGCAGGGATAGTAGGGTAGCTTGTATGTTAACGTTAGAGACATTAGACTGTTTTTCCCCTATTAGAGATTCTTCAATGGTTTTTTGGGTTGTTGGTGGAGCAGAAGTTAAAGTAGTTGTTAGGGTCGGGGTGGTCTTCCTTCCTGATTTCAAAGCCATAGTTGTCACCATTTTTGTGTCAGTCGTTAAATGAATCCATTTTATACAATGGGAACTTTTTGTGAGAAACCAGCAAACAACTGACAGAAAACAAATAAATTGTAGGCAGTCAAATGATTGGACTACCTGTGATTGCAGTCAATAATATGGTTACTGTATTCTGATCAGTCTTCAATGACAGCCCTATGTAGAATATACTGTAGTAGTCCAGATGGGATATAAATAAGGCTACTTGTACTTCTGAATTTTCTTTCACATTACCTGTCCAGAAAAAAAGTGTTTAAGCTGAAAAGTCCCAGGGCATCAGAAACAGGAAAATGAATTGAGGTAGGATTGTTGGGTTGATAACCACTGTATAGACTACCTGACAGCCGAGGAAAAAAGATCATTCTTGTTCCTTGCCCCTTTGTGGTATTAATGAAATGTAATTTGCTCTTTGATTGAACAGAGAGATTTCTCTAGTAGCACAGTTTTAGGAAAGAGTAATCTTGCCTTTTCAAGTTTTGTCCTTAATGTTTTCCTGAAACTGTCCCTCTTCTTCTACCAGATGAAATATGTGACTATTTTGGAGTGAAGATTGCCATGTACTTCGCATGGTTGGGCTTTTACACATCAGCCATGGTATATCCTGCTGTCTTTGGCTCCCTTCTCTACACCTTCACAGAGAATGACCAGGTGAGGCGTTGAAGTGCATTGCAATGGCATGGTAGCCTTCTGGATTTGTTCTAGTTCTACCTGAAGAAGCTGAGAATCAGATTTCTGGTAAGCCTAGATATATACAGGATATATTCTTTCTCTTTTTTCCATACTTCATTACTTTTTTCCTTCCTTCTCGACACCTCCAACAATCATAACAATTAAGTATAGGCTACTTGGCATCTTAGACCCCAATGTCCATTAGAAGCCTCTTAAATACCCTGTGAACCTTGAACTATAGCGTTCAAAATATTAGATATTTTGAAATAGTTAAATATTTCAAATATTGATATATATTTGAAATAGTCAGTATTATTAGGGTACAAATCAGTGGTGGGATTCAAATAATTTAACAACCGATTCTCTGCCCTAATGACTGGCTGGATGGGCATGGGCGTGGTCATGTGACTGGGTGGGCGTGGCTAACTCAATATCACTCTTCATACCCAGCCCTGCCTCCTGGCCACTCTCACTTTCCCCAGGCCTTGGGCCTATATGTAACACCTCCAGAAATGAAAGAGTTAATCAGCCCTCAGTTTCTTGGCCCTCCCCACCCCATGAAAGGATGGGGAGAGACCAGCAAAGCATTCTTCTCCTATCACCAAGGAAAGTAAGACATTGGAGGCTGAGCTTATTAAAAAGCAACCCATTGTGTCATTTTTCACCCCCAAAACAGCCGAAAACAGCCTGAAAAACGGGTTGAGGCAGGGTCAGCCAGTGGTGGGATTAGCCAGTTCATCGAACTGGGCATAATTTCAACAGCCAGTTCACCCGAACGGACTGAATCCCACCTCTGGTACAAGCCAAATAGCCTACAGTTTGTTATTATTGATAGAGATGAAGAGAAGGGAGGAAAAAAGTAATGTGTGGAAAAAAGAGAACTGCATATACACAGGCCTCCAAGAAATCTGATTCTCATCCTCTTTCGATAGAGGTAGAACAAATTCAGTGGCATCTATTTACAAGGAAGAATTTATATAGAAATATTTACATAGAATTATAATTATATTCTCGCCATTGATTTGCCTCAGAATTCAGGGATCATTTTCATGTGTGAATGAAGCTGAGCGGGATGGGACAAATATTTAACAGAAAAGGGGGGGAGAGGCGGGTCCCGAAGGTACTTTTTTTCAAAAGGCAACTGGGCTTTGTTTTTCCTTAAAGACATTTAGCTTCTCATCCAAGAAGCCTCTTCAGTTCTCAGAAGTTCTGAGAAGTTCTCGAAATTGAAGAAGCTTCTTGGATGAGAAATGAAACATCTTCAGAGAAAAACTAAACCCAGTTGCCTTTTGAAAAAGCTCCTTTGGGACAACCATGATCTGGATGACTGAGCATCTCCATAGACAGAAAAGGTGGCGGGGCTTGGAAGGCTGGTTGGAAAAGGAAAAGGAAGAAAAGGCAGGATTGATTATGAGAAGAAAAGTTATAGAAGGTTTGACACCTTGAAAGGATGTGGAAGATTATGTGGAAGAGTTTGAAAAACAACAGCCCTTTAAGAATTTAGTGGGAAAAGGGCAGAGAGAGGAAAAGCCATAGAAAATGCTGACCTGCAAGAGAGGTAGAATAGCTGTGGGCCACAAGCAATCCTTAAAAAACTATTTTTACAGCCCCTGCTACCCTGTGAACATCCAGTTCTCCTCCCTCTACTATCAATGAGATCCATGCACAAGAAATTGTAAATGGTGAAGTGCAAAATGCTGGAGACAGAGAGAACGGAAAAACTCATTTTGACAGATTTGATGCTGCCTAAAATTGCCATATTCACCTGCCTATGGCAGAATCCAAATGCATGCAGGCAGGTGATGGGATGGGTGGAACAAGAACTCATCTCTGTGTATATATTTTATTTCTATGCCAGAGTTTCACAACCTTGGCAACTTGGAGATGCAAGTGGTATTCCACTGATGATCATAATTGGGACTGGAATTTCTGTGGCTAAGCAAGATGGTTATTAAATGAGTCACACCCAATTTTATGATTTTGTGTTTTTGCCGTGGTCCTTAAGCAAATCACTTTGGTCATTTAAGTGAATCACACAGTCATTAGTTGAATCCTGCTGTCCCCATTGCCTTTACTTGTTGGAAACCAGCCGGGAAGGTGGCAAATGGTGATAATGTGATGTTGGATATTCTGCAATCATTATACATACCTGCTGGTTGCCAAGTGCCCAAAATTTGGTCACATGACCACAGAGATGCTACGACAATTCTGAGTGTGAAGACCACACTATGTGTGAGGACCATATATTTTTTTAGCACTGTTGTAACTTCAAATAGTTGTTAAATGAATGGTCATAAGTCAAGACGTCCTGCAGGTGCTTTTTCAGGAGGCAACTGGACTTTCTTGTTCTTTCTTTGAAGATGTTTCACTTCTCATCCAAGAAGCACTACTCAGGTGACCCTGAGGACACAGATAAACCTCCAAGTGCTTCAACGATCCTCTAAAACAGAGGTCTCCAAACTTGGCAACTTTAAGACTTGTGGACTTCAATTCCCAGAATTCTCCAGCCAGCATAGCTAGTTGCCAAGTTTGGGGACCCCTGCTCTAAAAGGATGCAAATGACCAGCTGTCTGTAAGGAATATAAATCCTTCCATTCCCCACTATCCTGTCAGAGCTGAAGAAACTTCTTGGATGAGAAGTGAAATGTCTTGAAAAGACAAAAACAAGAGAGTCCAGTTGCCTCCTGAAAAAGCATCTTTGGGACAACCGTGACCTGGGTGACTGAGAATCTCTATAGTAATAGGTCAGGAGCTATTTGTGTTTAGACTTCAGTTCTCAGAATTCCTCAGACCATCATGCTGGCTAGGGAATTGTGGGAGTTGAAATCCATACATTTTCAAGTTTCCAGGGTGAACAAACACTGTTCTATGCACATATAAGCCCACCTACTTTGCCACTTAGATGAACTCTCTAGATTCCTACATAGGCTGCCAATTCCTATTCTAACAAAGAAGGAACCAGAACACTCATGTTCAATTTACAACGAGTCTTGGCCTGGAGGCTCACCTTATTTCCTGCTTCATGATCATTTAATGCTTCCATTTTGTTCTTGCCAAGAAGCCCCTAATCCTGTTAGGCAAGGAATTGCAAAGGAGAACCTGGAAGAGAATGATGTGTCAGCATTTTCAGCATCATTAGCTTCTAAATGCGAGGAGCCATCTTGTCCAAGGATAGAGCAGAGACAATTAGAAGTTTTATTTTCCTCTTTCTGTGAAGGGTAATCTGATACTCCCTTTGCTGCTAAGCCATAACTGCCAACATCATCATTGGCCATATAGTCCATGGCTTATGACCACAATTGAGCCCAAAATTTCCATTGTTAAGTGAAACATTTGTTAACTGAGTTTTGCCCCATTTTACGACCTTTCTTGCCACAGTTGTTAAGTGAATCACTGCAGTTGTTAAGATAGTAACATAGTTGTTAAATGAATCTGGCTTCTCCATTGAGGTTGCTTGTCAGAAGGTTGCAAAAGGGGATCATATGACCCCAGGATACTGAAACCGTCATAAATACAAGTCAATTGCAAAGCATCTGAATTTTGATCACATGACCATGGGGATGCTGCTGTGGTCATAAGTGAGAAAAATGGTCATAGGTAAATCAGTGCCGTTGTAATGTCAAACAATCACTAAACTAACTGTTGTAAATTGAGGACTACCTTTACGGTTCCTTTAGAACTGTTTATTGCTGTTATTCATTCCTTTATTGACTACTCTTCCGAGTTATCTGTGCCAGAGCAGCTCATAATGTTATTTAAAAATCCTAATAGAACTCTGATTATTCCAGAGGTATAAAATTATAATAAATAAATAAGACACTAATGAAAACCACAAATAGAATAAAATACTCTTTTAAAATATCCCAATTAGGATAATTAAAGAAAAACTCTATGGTTGCCTTAAAAACAAGCCAGGGAATTCACACATAACTTTCCAGGAATAAAGTTCTAGAAAATTAATGGAAAAGGCCCCATTGGTGCTCACCACCCCAAGACTTTTTATTTATTGATTTTATTTATGAAACGTATATGCCTGCCAACCTAGCAGTTCGAAAGCATGCAACTGCAAGTAGATTAGGGGTGTCAAACTCACATCGTCATGGCGTCATTGTGTGACATATCATGACTCCCCCCCCCTTTGCTAAACCGGGTGTGGGTATGGCCAGCATGTGATGCATCCGGCTGTGAGTTTGACATCCCTGAAGTAGATAAATAGGGAGTCCTTCGGTGGGAAAATACCAGGGATATGAAAGGAGAATTGTAATAGTAATTTATAGGCTGCCCTTCTCACTATCCAAAGGTCCTTTGGATAGGTCCTCTTGCTGAAGGGCCATAGAATTGGGCCTCATCATAGATATTTGCTACAAATTAGAACAGCGGTGTTAAATTTGTGGCCTATAGGCCATATGAGTCATGCACTGGTCACGGCCACCTCCGGTTTAGCAAAGGGGGGGGGGAGAAAGTCATGATATGTCATGTGACATCAACGTGACGCCGTGCGTTTGATACCCCTGAACTAGAAGGATGCATTGTGATGTCATGATGAATACACGGTCATATTAAAGGCCCCGGCAGACTTCTCTGGCGCTACACATCAGGGAATGTATGCGTCTGTCATTCAGGGATGTTTGTATAGGCATTCCATTTATATTTGTGCAAATATAAAATTCTGGCTTGGGGCCATTGAAACAGCAAAGCACAGAACAGGAAGTCGGATAAGCCAATTGGAGTGCAGGACACGCACCCCACGCCACACGCAATTGGGTTAGGGTTAGGGTTATACTTACCCATCAAACCCTTTGCAGTACAAGTTTGCAGTGACACATACAGACAGTAGTGGGCAACTCTAAATCAGCCTGTAGTTGTTGCGTGATATTGCAGGCAAGTATGGAAGTCAATGGCTTGGCCCATGATGTCACAACATACTCTGTGGCATTTCCTTTTATCCCCAAGAATCCTAATGGGCCTGAGCAACTGATGACAACACTCTGGCAGGTTGAGATGGCCGCGACTAATCCCTAGGTTGGCCCCGTCTTAACCTTATAAAGGTTAAATCCATTTTTCTTTGGCTCTGGAACTAAATAGGCTAGGAATGTAGAAGGGCTGAAAAGGTCAAAGCCCTGAACTTTTGTGAATCTTTTGATGTCACATTCTTCCAAATGAAGGTTGTTTTTTTTTGTTTTTTAAAGGAAGAGATACTGATACAAGCGTCTCAGTAACTGGATTGCTTTCACTTTAGAATCCAATCTGGCTTTCAGCTGTTAAGGTAAAGACTTCTTTCAGTTCTTAACTAGCAGCATCTCTGTGGATAGACAAGGAGGCCAATCAACCACCTGATAGCTAAGGAATGCACACGTGGTACAGTTGTGACTCCTTGAGACTCTTTAAGCATGCCATTATGTGGTGTGTATTACAGTAAACTCAAGACTTGTGTCACTTAAGGCAAGCTCATAAGATCTTCCTTCTCCAAATGCAATCATACTTGGCAAACCACCTGAAGCTAGGCAGAAATAGAACAGGGAACGCTTGGAATCGGTTTGAGCTTACTGGACCATATCAAAGTCCCACTTTGGGCTGTTCTAACAGTGGGAAAGCTTTATTTGTCTAGGAAGAAGACAATGCAGAAAAAAACAAGTGCCCTTTGTGATTCTTTCCAGGATCTTGTATTCAGATTATCTGCCTGTATTCACTGAGATTCTGCTTACTATCCTGGCTAATCATTTGACATTTTCTCTATAGATTCTCAGTGTTTAAAAATGAAACCCTAATTCAACCTGGGACTGCTAATGCCATAGGTGAATTAGTTCTTGTATGTTCTGCTTATCCATTCCCTATGGACATATGTACAAAAACCCAGTGCCTTTTAATGATGATCAGACATTAACCGAGGATGGATCTAACATCTGTTATAGATAGTCCTCAATATGCAACCATTTGTTTAATGACCATTTGAAGTTACAACAGCACTGAAAAAAATGACTCACAACTAGTCCTTGCTTTTATAACTGTTGCCACGTCCCCACGGTCACGTGATCAAAATTTGGGTGCTTGGCAGCCAGCATGTATGTACGATGGTTTGCAGTGTGACCATCATGTGACAGCTTTTCGCCATCTTCCCAGTTGGCTTCTGACAAGTAAAGTCTCTAAGGGAAGCTGGATTTGTATAACAACCACATGATTCGCTTAACAACTGTAGTGATTTGCTTAACAACTGTAGCAAAGAAGATCATAACATCGCAACTGGAATTCTGATCCCAATTATTGCAGATTGAGGACCAATTGTTATCATAACCAATTAAGTAAACAAAAGCTACCTAAGGCTGTGACTTTCCTTCCTGTTGATGAACCTCTGGGAAACATTGGAGCATGATGAAGAATAGGATGCTGGATCAGATGGGTGATTTGATCTGTTCAAAAGGGATCTTCTCTCTTGATCAACGATTATCGGTATCCATGGTTAACAATGACCCACCAGCTTCAGAGGCAGTCTACCTTTACTCGGGAAAGCTCCTGTATCCTCCATAGGGCTTCTGATCACCAACCAACCCTAAGGATTTTTCCCATCAGGGAGTGTGTGAAATGTTCCCGTTTTGAAATGTTTCAAGTACAGCATCCTGTTTTGAGTGGAATGGATTGTCTGGAACATTTTGCAAAGATTTCAGGCTCAAAAAAAAATGCTGCAAGCCTTAACGCATTTACATTTGCAGCCAGAGCAGTCCTATGCTCAAAGCAGCACCGTTCACACTTGAAATGAGACATGTCTGAAATTTTGTGCTAGGAATGTTTTGAAATGAAATGTTTGGTGTCCTTCTGCGAAGGTGCAGAGGGAAGGGCTGTTCCCTTCCTGTCTTACCAGATCTATCTGGCTGGCTGTTGTGGGAAGGTGAATTTTAAGTTAAACGTCAGGCCAAGATTCCTGGTTGTTAATATTACCATGAGGGGTCCTGGGTGCTCTTTGAACTTGATTGTTTTCTTGCAGATGTTTCATTACCCAAACCAACATCTGCCCAAACATCTACCCAAACCAACATCTAACATCACCAGTGCTAGACTAGCAACCCTGAACAACCAATATTCTTCTTTATTGGTGACATTCTCATCCCAGGAGAATGGTTGGAGTTGATTTTTCTGATTGACGGATAGTTGGGATAGACAACCTTCTTTAGTAGCTGTTAAAACAGTGGAAATTTCAGTTCTTCTTTGCTCTTCATTAATCATCTCTTCCCTTCCTAATTAGACCAGCCGGGACATTTGCTCTGTCATATTTGCCATCTTCAATGTTATCTGGTCCACGCTGTTCCTGGAGGAGTGGAAACGCCGAGGAGCCGAGTTTGCATACAAGTGGGGAACTCTGGACACACCAGCAGAGTCCATCGAAGAACCTCGGCCTCAGTTCCGGGTCAGTGGTGTCTGATCTAGCTCAGAAAAGAAGAAAATACAAGTTTAAAAAATAATAATTTGTGCTGCCCATGTCCATGGATAAAATCTAGGCATGTCAATCAAGACCAAGTGAGGTACTAATACCACTCTATAAAGCCTTAGTAAGACCACACCTAGAATACTGCGTCCAATTTTGTTCACCAAGCTATAAAAAAGATGTTGAGACTCTAGAAAAAGTGCAGAGAAGAGCAACAAAGTTGATTTAAGGGACCGGAGGCTAAAACATATGAAGAACGGTTACAGGAACTGGGCATGGCAAGTCTAGTGAAGAGAAGGACCAGGAGAGACGTGATAGTGGTGTTCCAATATTTGAGGGGCTGCCACAGGGAGGAGGAAGGGGTCCAGCTATTTTCTAAATGGATGGAAACTGAACAAGGAGAGGTTCAACCTGGAACTAAGGAGAAACTTTCTGACAGTGAGAACAATTAACCAATGGAACCGCTTGCCTTCAGAAGTTGTGGGAGCTTCATCACTGGAGGCTTTCAAGAAGAGACTGGACGGCCACCTGTCAGAAATGATGTAGCATCTGCTTGGGTGCGGGGTTGGACTAGATGACCTACAGGGTCCCTTCCAACTCTGTTAATCTGTATCTCCTTTCTTTGCAGGGTGTGAAGCGCATCAGCCCAGTAACCAACACGGAAGAGTTCTACTACCCGCCTTGGAAGCGGTTACTCTTCCAGTGTTTGGTGAGCGTGCCCATCTGTATCTTCTGCCTCTCCTTTGTCTTCCTTACCATGCTGGGCTGCTTCGAATTGCAGGTGAGGTGGTCCTGGAGTTGTGGGCAGACAGGGTCCAACAATCCAGTCCCGGTGTCTTATTTGTTGTTTCCATCAGATGTCCTGGCTGTTCATAACACAAGTCTGGCCTTTATCTTGCCCCAGCCTAAGATTTAAACAGTGTCATGCTGACCCTTAAGGTTCTGAAAAGAAAAGGGATACTTCAGCTATCTCAGAGCCATGGCATGTAACTTTTATAATGCTTCCTGCACTTTCAGAGAAGATATATTCATTTTACCTCTTATTCAGTTTAATTATTCATCGTTAATAGTGCTGAAGAGGGTGGCATCATATCTTATGGAGGAGGGTGAAAAATAATGACATTGGCTGTTCATCAGCTAATCATCATCCTTAGAATATTTTCCCAGCTGCTATATCAATGAGGACAATGCATTTTATTAGCTAACCAAGGCTCCAACATGAATTTAGATAATATATCACTATTTGGCCACGATATTATATCAGTACTGTATAGCAAGGGCTAAAATACCCCATGCAATGCAAACTGACAAACAAGAGTAGTATTTAATTTCTCTTAGCTTAACTGTGGCATTTCCCTTGTTTCCCCACTGAGAATGGTGCTGGTCTGGATAGCAACCATAGTTGGGTACTATATTACTATCCTAACAAATTGATATTTTGAGACAACGAATATCTAAAGTATTAGTCTCAACTTTGGCACCTTTAAGATATGTGGACTGCAACTCTCAGAATCTCTTCCCCAGCAGAGCTGGCTAGGGAATTCTGGGAGATGGAAGTCCATGGATCTTCAAGGTGCCAAGGTTGAGAAAGACTGCTCGAAAGGATCCCTAAAGGTGCAATTCACACCATTCATTTGCAGTGGTTCAGGTATGGCCTGCACATCTCAGGAAAAGCAGTAAGTGGTGAGCTACGCCTGGGAAGTGAGAGGAGCTGAGGCTAGGAGCTGGACCCGTTCTTTGGAAGAGTCCCTGCTGACATTCGACTTGCCTCCGTCCTGCTGTCATTTAGGAAAACATTTAAGCTAAGCAAAGTTGTAGAGCATTTCTAGATTGAGCAGATACCATCTGAATTAATTAGGTTACTACTGGTAATTGAGTGACAGGATTGATCCGGTGGATATATATTAGTAATCAATGTTATTGATTGATATTGATTAACTTATATTATTACTTTATTGCAGATGTTATTTTTATACAGTTTACTGGCAATATTTTAAATGTGTTTTGTTCACCAGCTAGGAGTCTTGATTGAAACAGAGAAATGTAAATTGAATGGATGGATGGATAGAAAGATAGATAGACAGACAGACAATAGAGATAATTCTTGAATTATGACAACTGAGACCAGATTTCCTGTTGTTAAGCAAGTCAGTTGTTAAGTCTCACTCAATTTTATCACCATTTTTGCAATGGTGGTTAAGTGAATCCCTGCAGTTGTTAAGTGAATCAGATGATCAGTTAAATGAATCCAATGGTCCCCATTGACTTTGCTTGTTTGAAGCTAGTTGAGGTGGTCATAAATAGGGATCGCAGGGCCCTGGCATGCTGTAATCATGATAAATACATGCTGGTTGCCAAGCACTTGAATGTTGATCACGTGACCATGGGGTTCCTACGATGGTTGTAAATTGAGGACTGTCTGTAGACAGCTTTGTTGATAGTCAAACTAGGTTGTTTTTTTTTTATTTTTAGAAAATGCTTAAATTCATAGAACAGAAATAACTGAGCAATAGGAATTGGTAGAAACAAGGAACCCTCTGCCTTTATGAAAAGCCATTTGTACTGATCAGTTGTGATGCAATCCTGGTTCTCCAATCTTTTTCTTTCTCCACCTCCATCAGGAATTTGTGCTGAGCATCAAGGAGCTGCCACGCCTTGTTCGCTTCTTGCCCAAAATCATGCTGGCCGTCATTGTCACCCTCTGTGATGAAATCTACAGAAAAATTGCCTACTGGCTAAATGATATGGGTAAATATCCAGATTGCACATCTTCTGATCCAAAGAAAACTAAGCTAAATGGAACCTTAAATGGATCCGAGGAAACGTTTTGATTGTGTCCAACTCAAGAGATGCGCAGAAACTGGGAATTTCCAGAAGAAGCCCAGATCAATATTTCTTAACCTGGCAACTTTAAGATGTGTGAACTTCAACTCACAAAATTCCCCCCAGCAAGCATGCTGGTTGTGGAATTCTGGGAGTTGAAGATCACACACCTTAAAATTGCTAAGGTTGGGGAACACTGGTCTAGATGCTACGCAAGTTTCCTCCCTAAATCAGGGAAAGGCCCACAAGAGAAAGAAGAGCAGAGAAGGGAGACAATACAGCTAGTCTCCAGCTGGATGCTGTGAACCCCTGAGCATACTAGAAGTTCTTACCCAAAATCTAATATTGGAGCAATAAATAAAATAAAAAGTATTGCATGCTCTAAAAATAAAAGTATTGCATGCTAGTACTCTCTCTCTCTCTCTCTCTCTCCCCCTCCCTCCCTCTGTCCACCCCTCTCTATCTTTCCCTCTCTCCCCCTCTCCCTGCCTCTCTCTCTCATATTATAGATTGCCCTCACCTTATGACAATTGAGCCCAAAATTTATGTTGCTGTTAAGTGAGTTTGCCTCATTTTACGACCTTTATTGTCACAGTTGTTCACTGCAGTTAAATTAGTCAAACTTGGCTTGTCAGAAAAGGTGACCACATGACTTTGGGAGACTGAGTGTCACAAGTAAAAGTCAGTTGCCAAGGATCTGAATTTTGATCACATGGTGTGAGGATTCTACAACGGCCATAATGTGAAAATTGGCCCTCAGTCACTTTTTTCAATGCAATTGTAACTTCGAATGGTGACTAAATGAACCGTTGTAAGTCAAGGACTACCTGTAGTTTAATATATATTTTTTGTTTTGGGGGAAAACTGCTCTCACTGTAGCCAAACACTCTTTGGTTTTAGGGCAGGGGTCTCCCAACTTGGCAACTTTAAGACTTGTGGACTTCAACTCCCAGAATTTGGCCCGTTTTAGAGGTACAGCAGAAGGAATGATTTTCAGCAGTTTGATTGCTGTACCAAACTTACAACAGCTGATGAAGATAATCATCCAATGCTTTGAAATGTTTCTTGGGGTGTGGGTGGGGAGTGGAGTTTTTGTTTTTGGCTTGGTAGAGCTCACGTTCTTTGGTGGAATGGTGAGACCTGTTATGAAAGATAGGAAAGCATTGCCGCAGATGCCTGAAGGCTAAGCTGGAAACGAGCCTTACTTTATGTCTTTCTTCTGAGCTTCTCACGGGCACTTGCCTGAGGTAAGATATGGTACTAAATGACTCCACTTGGATCTGATCTGGCAAGTCTGACCATATCTGTCAAGTGTCTCTACTGTGCCATCATGAAATGCCAAGTGTTAGAGAATCAGACTTTAAGACGCCATTGCTTAGACAGCAGATACTGGCTCATCTCAAATTCTCAGCCATGAGATGGCTACTACTTAGAGAATATTTTCCAGGAATAGCAAGAGTAATAGCACTTACTATATACTGCTTTATAGAGCTTTACAGCCCTCTCTACACGGTTTGCAGAGTCAGCCTATTTCCCCCAACAATTTGGGTCCTCATTTTACCCACCTCGGAAAGATGGAAGGCTGAGTCAACCTTGAGCCTGGTGGGATTTGAACTGCCAAATTGTAGGCAGACAACAGGAAGCAGAAATGGCCTGTAGTACAGCACTCTAACCACTGCGCCACCAAATGCCAGTAAATTGTTGACATATGGCTGTTCCAAAGAGGTTTATGTGTTTGCTCAAATTTACCAGTAAACTCTGCTTTAGTTCACTGCTGCCCTTGAGAAGTCAGCTTATTCTGGTTCTAGAAAAGACCCATCAAACTGCCACGTTTTACCTTCTCACCTCCTCCTCCTCGTTCCTTTTCCTTGCAGAAAATTATCGCTTGCAGAGTGCCTACGAAAAACACCTCATCATCAAAATGGTCTTGGTAAGTTGAGCCTTTTGGCTTTTTGAAACTGTTCCGTTCCAGTTTTAAAAGTAGGACACCGTCTCAAAAATCCAGTAGGATGAGTTTCTCCAGATAGGGGCCTGTTACTTTTGATGGCTTTGGTTTTCTTTGGTGAACCTTGGTAAGAAAGTCCCTCAGTGAGCAAGATTACAGGTAGTCTCCAACTTACAACTGGTTGCTTAGGAATCACTTGAAGTTCTGATGGACCTATCTTGAAGATACTTATGACCCAGACTTGAAGTTCTGACGATCAGCCTTCTTTAGGGTCACATATCCAGACTTCAGGCGCTTGGCAAATGGTCATGTTATCTGGCAGTTTGCAGCGTATTTTACAAAAAATGGCCCTGTTTTGGCAAAACTAGGCCATAGCAAACAACAAGGGTTAACTTAATGACCACTGTATTTGCTTAATGGCCACCTTGTTCACTTAAGGACTTCTGCCAAAAAGTTCATAAGATCATGCGAGCAACTCACTTTACAACCATCACGTCGTAGCTCCATTACGATCATGATTCAAGGACTCCCTGTAATGCTGCTATTTAATACTGCTAATTATATTTATCCACCAAAATTTAATGGTGATGGGGTGTGCAAAAATGTACTCTCTCTCTTTCTTTATCTGGACTGTTTAGTCTCAATGAAGATTCATCTCATTTTGATTTTAGCGGACTATTTTTGTTCAATAATTCAGTAACAGCCCTTTGGTAAATTGCCCAAAACTAGAGATAAACAATGAGACAATCTTAATCCTGTCCCAGAGTTGCTTTTGCAACAGGTAACTGGACTTTCTGGTTTTTCTTTGAAGACGTTTTGCTTCTCATCCAAGAAACTTCTTCAGCTCTGAGCGGATGGTAGGGAATTTGCATTCTTTTTTGACCAGCTGTCTGAAAGGAGTATAAATCCTTCCATTCCCCACCATCCACTCAGAACTGAAGAAGCTTCTTGAATGAGAAGCAAAACATCTTCAAAGAAAAACCAGAAAGTCCAGTTGCCTCTTGAAAAAGCACCTTTGGGATAACTGTGAACTGGATGATTGGGAATCTCCATAAATATTTAGTCTTAATCTTGTTTAATCAACTGTCTCTTCTTATGGCTTGTTTCTCTCTTCTCCAAACAGTTTCAGTTTGTAAATTCATACCTAAGTCTTTTCTACATTGGATTCTACCTCAAAGACATGGACCGCCTCAAGGAGGTATGGCATTCTTGAATATGGGAGGCAACAGCCAAGGGAAAATGGGAAAGGGGTAAATTGCACTGGGCTCCATTACAACCAGAAACAGTGTTGGTCCAGGTAAATGTGCCATTTTTATCCGGATACGTTTAGGACCAAAAACGTCCCCCGGCTATTCAAAAAAGTTGCACCCCAAGAAAGCCAAGGACTATCAGCCACTTTTAATACATTCTTAACATGGTTTTCTTTCTTCCTTTCTTTTACGGGTTCTTTTAAGTTTTCATGTTTTTTTCTCTCTCTCTTTGTCTCTCTGTCTTGTCCGTATTGCCCTCCACAGCTCCTGCTCATCTTTTCTCTCTTCCAAAGCCTTGTGCGTCAGCTTAAAGACGCGGTCCTTCCCTCCATCACTCTCCAACTCCACCTCTATTTCATCTCCTTTAAGGGTTTGCTGATTTCTTCCTGGCATCTGGGAATCTCCAAAGTAGGATCCTGATGATGGAAGGAGTATGGAAGGGTGGGGTGAGGGTGAGGAGGAATAAGCAGGCTGCAGAACCTCAGCTTTAATCCCATTTATTTGGCCCGATGCATTTTAAGAAGACTTGCTTTCCCCTGACCAAAAAAAGGAGACGTTTGCTCTTACAACTCTGATCAAGATTTACTTAGGATTGATCAAAAATGATGAAACCGGCATGGGGGCTGAAAAGTCTTTCAGAATGGAAAGCAAAAAAAAGGAGTTTTGAAAGGAATTGGGTGCTCACGAGACCCCTGCCTTCAATTCTGTCAGAGTTTTTGCAACACATCTGACCTGCACACAAGTAAAATAATTCTGCAGGATTCATTTACATAAGAAAATTTCCTTATATACAATATCATACAGCAGAAGTCAGCATACCAATCTAGGGACACAGAAGCAATATTCACAGAAGCAAGTCGTGATAAAGTAGAGAGATACAGAGGCCTAGAAGCCTAGATTTATAGAGGCCTAGATTACAGAGGACAAACCAACTCTTACATACAATTCAGCAAGTCAAACCACACTCAGTCTTTTATGGCCCCATACAAACAAATACTATGTTTCCGTTTCCAAGCAGCCCCCATTGGCTGACCTGTTGCCATGTCTAATTCAGACAGTCGCCATTGGCAGACCTGTTGCCATGTGTAATCCAAACAGTCCCATTGGCTGACCTATTGCCATGTCTATTCCAGTTCAGGAACTGGACTGACAAACTACACAAACTACAAAGTACACTGCCAAATTCCTTCAAGAAACGGATTTTGGACAAGATGGCATGGTTGTCCTTTGCACAGAAATAGGCTACTGGGGAAAAAATGGGGTTTGGTTCAAAGAGATGCACCTCTAGAGTAGCCTTTTGTCTTCAATCCAAAGTGCTGCTTCATCCTAAGACTTAAAACAGCCCTTAGAAGTGAAATCACATATAGCAAACTACAGTCTTATGATCACTTTCTGGTAGCAGAAACTTAGTTTATTTCCAAACAATCAGAATTAAGATCAAGATTACAGGTATAATAATACATTTTGGAAAGAAAGATAGTTCCTAAATTTGCACACAGCTGAATACTTACTGTCAGATTAATTTTGACTTTCTAAGGCTAGTTTCAACTAAATTTTTATTCTACGACTTAGTGCAAACTTATAGGAGCTTAGTCTTAGACTATTGTACCTTTCTCATAAAATTGCTTATACTTCTTTCTTAAACTTTATAACTTAATTTTTTTCTCCAAATGATGTCCAGTGATGATGATGATAGATTTGTATCAGCAAACAACCTCAGCTAGAAAATTAGATGTAAGGAAACTAGAGAAATAACATCAGCATATGATTTTAATCTGTTTAAATGGTTACTTTTTAAGAAGCAAGTAAAGTTAGTTTCTAAATAATTTATAAAAGTTTGCCTACTTCTCACAAATGCATTTTTTTTTACTTTTTTTTGCTTTTGAAGCTTAGAATCAGGATGGAAGGGCTGGAGGGATCATATGATAATTGACTCCAAAGTTTCTCGATTTTGACAACTTTAAGATGTGCAGACTTCAGTTTCCAGAATCCCTCAGCTAACATGTCACTAACATTGAGAAACATGGACCTCGCCCAATCACTACATCAACCCCAAGACCATCCATCCTTGTTTGTTCCATTGTTGACCAGTTTTTACCATTAGGAAAAATCTTGCCAATGTCCACCCAATTATATGACCCTTTTTGTCTGGCAGTTGTTAAGTGTATCTGTGGTATTATGTGAACCCATTGTTTGCTGTGGGGCATTTTTGCTGAAAACTGGAAATGAACTTCAGTTTTCAGCAAAAATGTTGTAAACTGTGGTCACATAACTGCAGAACACTGAAAGTGGTCCTAAACGTGAACTGGTGGCCAAGTGTCCAAAATACAGTCACGTGACTGTGAAAGAAGCCTGGCCATCAAAACCAGGTTGTAAGTACTTTTGGGGGGTTGGTTGTAAGTTCAAATGGTCGCTAGTTCATAAGTCAAAATGTAAAATGTATCTATAGAAACCCCTGTTACAAAGAAAACTTTCTTACAACTGATAAGGGTGTAATATAACAAGGAGGGAGAAATTCCCAACCATGTTCCTGGACTCCACATGTTCTTCAAAGCAATTCATAAAAATTGGTGAGTTGTCACAGCTTTGTTGGATGTGAGCTCATTTAGTCAGGCAAAAGAAAAGGTGAAAGCTAAGCTAAGGTAGTAGAGAGTAAATTATGTAAAGAATGAAGGGCAACCTCAAATGTTTTTGTCTTCTGATACTTTATGATTCATCATAGCCATCACAACAATCATTTTGTGAGTGTATCCACAACATCCTCTCAAAATTTGAAATACATCCTCTAGAACAAAAAGTTTTGGAGGCTCTTGCTCTCTACATGACACTCTGCCAATTTGCAATGTAGCTGAGGATTGAGGTTCCCCTTAGAATAGTATGTATAGGATAGCCTGATGTTCGACTCCAGAGTTGAGTAGCTGATTCTACTAAGGAACAACTGACTAAGAATGACAGGCAGGGAGCACTTTTTCCCACTTCATTGGCCAAAATAGATGCTTCAGTGTGTCCAGCTGATTGACCATCTCACAACTCCCCCAAGATATGAGGAATAGAGGGAATATTGTGAGCAAAAGGAAGAGCAGCTACCAAGACAACAGTCAGATAAACAAAAGCTGAATCCAGGGTAAAACTGTAATCCGAAAAATCATCTCCCTAGTTCTCATGAAGATGAAGTGTTACTACCACTTTGTAATGCCTTGGTAAGACCACACTTGGAATACTGCGTCTAGCTTTGGTTGTAACAATGTAAAAAAGATGTTGAGACTCTAGAAAGAGTGCAGAGAAGAAGAACAACAAAGATGATTAGAGGACTGGAGGCTGAAACATAAAAAGAATAGTCGCTGAAATTGGGTAAGTCTAGTTTAATTAAAAGAAGGACTAGGGGTGACATCGCCATCTTCCAAAATGTAAGAGGGTGCCCCAAAGAAAAGGGGGTCAACCTATTCTCCAAAGCACCTGGGGGGCAAGACAAGAAGTAATGGATGGAAACTAATCAAAGAAAGAACCAACCTAGAACTAAGCAGAAATTTCCTGACAGAAATGAATGGCATAAATTGCCTCCAGAAGTTGTGAATGCTTCAATACTGGAGGTTTTCAAGAAGAGATTGGACATCCATTTGTCTGAAATGGTATAGGGGCTCCTGCCTGAGCGGGAGGATTGCACTAGAACAGGGGTCTCCAACCTTGGCAACTTTAAGACTTGTGGACTTCAACTCCCAGAATTCTGGGAGTTGAAGTCCACAAGTCTTAAAGTTGCCAAGGTTGGAGATCCCTGGACTAGAAGACCTCCATGATCCCACCCAATTCTGTTATTCTGTTATACAAAGGGAGGGAAGGAAGGAGGCGCCAAGTGCATTCAGACTTGTAAGACTCTTGATACCATAACCTCATGATAAAAGTAGTAATGATCTGCATGACTTTTGCTTCCTAGTCTTGCCTGTGCCGAAGGGCTAATACCTGGATGCTTTACTCTTCCCTCCTGCCTCTTTCAGATGCTGGCTACACTCCTCATTACCCGCCAGTTCTTGCAGAATATCAAGGAAGTCTCTCAGCCCCACTTATACAGCAAGTTCAAGCGTGGTGACTTCAGTATGCAAAACCTTCGGGAGGTGACCCACACCTTCTTCCGCCTGCTGACCCAGAAGTACACCTTCACCACTTCGTGCGGCACCAACCCTCGGCATCCCAGGTATGGTGACTCGCCGGTGGGCCACAGGCCAAAGGTCCATGAGGCCCCAGAGGGGGCCGTCAAGGGGGAGAAGAAATGCCTCAATGGAGGGTGCGGCGTGCCTGAAGAAGAGGACGAGGAGAAGAAGGAATCGGACTCAGAAGACGAGAGCATCATTGACTGTGGGCTGAAGCTGAAAAAAGTGAGCTTTATTGAAAAGGCTGACCGCAAAACGGGGGATCCCAGTCTAGAGGACATGAGTTTCTTGGAAGAAGGTAGCCCCACCATGGTGGAGAAAGGGATGGACCCCTCCTCTGTCTTTGAGCTGTGCGAGGATGATGATGAGAGCGATGAAGCCTCAGAGAGCCCGTTTAAGGCCCTCCCGGATGTTAAGGAGCCAGCTGTTACCATGCGGACTCGAAGGCCGCGGGTGGGCAAGAACCTCACAGAAGGCGAGGAAGAAGAGGAGGAGGATGGTTCTGGGAATCGAAGACAGGCCCGGTCCTCCTGGATCGATCCACCAGAGGAGAACTACACCACGCAGCTTGCCCAAGCCGAAGTGGAGAGTTGCATGAAAAAATATGAGGTAAGACCAGATGTGCTGCTTCTCTGACTAAGCAAGCAGGCTATTCATGTGATTATTGATTAATTAAGTCTGTTTAATTAATTGGCATTTGGACCTTTCTTTTTAAAAAAACTATCCCCTGCAAAAGATGGTGAGTTTTGAAAGTTAGTCATGTTCAGAGTATTGCAGCGTAAATTCAGTGCCAGAAAATTAAACACAGATGGCTGAAACTTCATTTAACTTCTTTATAAGCACAAGTAAAATTTTACAATTCCAGTTGTAGATTTTTTCAACATGGAGCAAACTCAAATGGAAACAGACATGTTACAAGCAACTCAACTCCAGCAGACAAACAAGCAAGTTAGTTTCTCTTTCAATAGACAGACTCAGAGCTTAACATAGCTTCGGTGCTGCAGCCCTTAATATAGAGCCACACCTAGGCTACTTCTAGTTTCAGTTTCCAAACAGTCCTCATTGGCTGACTTAGTTGCTATGCCTATTCATTGGTTGACCTTGTTACCATGCTCTGTTCCAGTTCATGAATATACTCTTGACAAGTGTGTTTTCTATCTTTGGAACTTCTTCCCTGCAAAAGAAAAAAAATGCGGCTTCAGACACCCAGTGCTAAACTTTGGAATCAAAATAGTTTAGAAAAGAACAAATGAATGAAGTGCTTCGTGGGCTTTGTAGTTCTCTCTTGCACATGCACACACAAGACATCCCAACATTCTGATTCTCTCCCAACCTAGGACACTTTTCAAGATTACCAGGAGATGTTCATCCAATTTGGCTACGTGGTCCTTTTCTCGTCGGCTTTTCCCTTGGCTGCAATGTGTGCCCTCATCAACAATATCATTGAAATCCGGAGCGATGCCTTCAAGTTGTGCACGGGACTCCAACGGCCCTTCGGGCAGCGGGTGGAAAGCATTGGAGAGTGGCAGGTAAGCCTGGCTTTTCCATCTGGCTGCAATTGACCAGTGGAAGGGCTTGCCTTCGCGGGGGGGGGGTGCTCCATCACTGGAGGCCTTTTAAGAAAAAAATTGGACAGTCCTTTGGAATAGCAGTAGCAATAGCACTTAGACTTATATACTTTTTTCCATTTTCTTAATAAATAAATAGCAATAGCACTTAGACTTATATACTTTTTTGCATTTTCTTAATAAATAAATAGCAATAGCACTTAGACTTATATACTTTTTTCCATTTTCTTAATAAATAAATAGCAATAGCACTTAGACTTATATACCGCTTTATAGTGCTTTCCAGCCCTCTCTAAGCGGTTTTACAGAGTCAGCCTATTGCCCCCAACAATCTGGGTCCTCATTTTACCCATCTCGGAAGGATGGAAGGCTGAGTCAACCTTGAGCCTGGTGAGATTCGAACTGCTAAATTGCAGGCAGCAGATCTGGCCTGCAGTACTGCACTCTAACCACTGCACTACCATGGCTCATGGTATAAGGTTTCCTGCTTTCATTGAGGGCTGCATCAGGGTTGAGTTTGACTTTGGGGGGAGGGGCGGGGGGGCATGGCCAGCTCTACATCACTTGTGTTGGGGGCACCTCTGGTGACCACAGTGCTCTGCCAGAGAAAACAGGCTCCCGAGCTCCATTTTCGGCTCCAACAGCCTCCTGCAACCGTCTACCAGAGAAAGCAGAGCTCGGGAGGGCCGCCTGCAGCTCTCCCAAGCTCCCTTTTTGCTGGCAGAGGCACCGCGGGCCAGTCCTTTGCTGTTTCCAAAATGGGCCTATGGGCCAGTTCTAAGCATCCCACAGGCCGGCTCCGAGTCCCGGGCCGTGAGTTTGACACCCCTGCTGTACATTATACAGTTTTTCTTTCCAAGTTGCTAAAAAAGAGAATGATTTTTCTCAAGTCAGTCCCTGAAAGGGCTTCATTTTTTTTTAAAAAAAAAAGGCCTTTTCCCTCCCCCTCTGCAGAAAGTGATGGAAGCCATGGGCGTCCTGGCCATTGTGGTGAACTGTTACCTGATTGGCCAGTGTGGGCAGCTGCAGCGTCTTTTTCCCTGGCTGAGTCCTGAAGGTGCTATAATCTCTGTGGTGGTGCTAGAGGTAAGAGTGTGATCAGCTTCTTCTTCTTTTCCTCTGTAGGTAGTCCTTGACTTACATCCATTCGTTTAGCGACCGTTTGAAGTTACAACAACAGCACTGAAAAAAGTGTCTTATGTCTGTTTTTCACACCATCGCATCCACGGCCACATAATCCAAATTCAGACGCTTGGCAACTGACTCATATTTATGACGGTTGCAATGTCTCCCAGGGTCATGTGATCACCTCTTGCGACCTTCTGACAAGCAGAGTCATTTAGGAAGCTAGACTTGCTTAACAACCATGTGACTAACTTAACAACTGAAGAGATTCACTTAGTTTTGGCACGAGAGATCAAAAAATGAGGCAAAACTCACTTAACAGTTGTCTCGTTTAGCAATGGAAATTTTGGGCTCAATTGTGGTCATAAGTCGAAAACTTCCTGTATTATTTCTTTGGTGGACTTGCCAACCTCTTTTTTTTCTGTATATTTCATATTTCTCCAAGTACTGAGAAAGAACGGAGGACATTTAGAAGAAGTGCTGATACTTAGATCGTGATTACTGTGCAGGGTTTTTGTTTTACTGTTTTTTAATTATTGTTTTATTTATTGGTAGTTTATTATGGTTGTGATAAGCCTGCGCTCAGAGTTGTGTAAGATGGGCAGCCATATAACTTTTTAAAATAAATATGTTGCTGGATTAAAGGCAGGAATAATGGTTGCACTCATTTTATTCATCTTAACACTCAACATTATACACTCCAGACCTCAATAATACATGCAACAAAAATTATTACATAAAAATGCTGGATTCAGAATTGGGAAGAACACTCAGGAAGTGCATTCTTGAGAAATAAGAGATAACTTACTTAATGACAAGATTGCTATCAGGCTTAAAACCGAGAATGATACATGGCAGGCAGTTCTTTATTGTTTCATACCCATAGACAAAATAAATCTTGCCAGACTGAGGACTCCACTATCTGCATCTACAACATACTCTGTGAACCACAGATACTCTTCGACTTATGACCACAATTGAACCCAACATTTATGTTGCTAAATGAGACATTGGTTAAATGAGTCCCCACCCCCATTTTAAGACCTTTCTTGCCACAGTTGCTAAGTGCATAACTGCAGTTGTTGAGTTATGAACACGGTTGTTAAATGAATCCGGCTTTCCCATTGGCTTTGCATGTCAGAAGGTCATCCTTTGACTCCGGGACATTGCAATCATTATAAATAGGAATCAGTTGCAAAGCGTTTGAATTTTGATCGGCTGACCATGGGGATAAGAGTGAAAAGGGTCATAAGTCACTTTTTTTAAATGCCATTGTAACTTTGAAAGGTCACTAAATGAACTGTTGTAAGTTGAGGGCTGCCTGTATTAGGGAGGGGCTGTCTTCATCCTCTTTCTCTCACACATAATACTGCCTCTTACTCCTCTGAAGTAACTCCTCTTACCCCCTCCCTCCTGGGAATCCACCCTTCTTGCTACCGTCCATTGCAAGTGCCCCAGAGACAGTCCTGTCCCCTGGCTTGGGAAATGAGCCAGTGCTTAGGAGAAAACTTGGAAAGTGGGAATTAAATGTACCTTTGGGAATATTTTGGTCACATCATGCAGATGTAAGTCATTGGCAAAGATCCTGATGTCTGGAAACATTGAAGGCAATGGAAAAAAGCCAAGAGATTAAATACCATAATTGGTGACTCATCTCACAAGATCTCAGTCTAATGACTACTGAACAGCCCTGGTGAAGTGACATCTGTTACATCATGAGGAGTTAGAAGCAACTGAACAACAATCTGTTTCCTGTCACAGATCTACACATTATGCCCAGGTCTGAGTTTAGCAGTCTCACTTTCAGTTAGTAGTATAAGATCTCAAGTGATAACACTGAAAAATTGAAAGATACTAGACATTAATTCAATGTCAGAGTTCTTGCAGACCTTGCATGTTTGAGACCTTGCACAATTTCAGCCCATTTTTAAAATTACAAATATAATTTTTCATTGAAGCAATTGGGGGGGGGGTGTACTGTAGATCACGGGTCTCCAACCTTGGCAACTTTAAGACTTCTGGACTTTAACTCCCAGAATTCCTCAGCCAGCAAAGCTTGCCAAGGTTGGAGACCCCTGCTGTAGACAATATCTGGTTACAGGTGTAACAGAGGCCGTGGCACCTGCAGGTAATGTCTGATGACCTTTTGTCATAAGGGCCCAGAGATGGTATTCAGCCGGTTCTGACCGATTCTGTCGTACTGGTAGCGGAAATTTGGACCACTTCGGAGAACTGGCAAATTCCACCTCTGGCTGGCCCCACCCATCCACCCCTGCTCTATCCCATTCTTTATTCCATTGTTTTTTAGCTCAGCTGATTTGCAGGGCAGAACAGATTGCCGCGCCTCAGCTGAGCTAAAAACCAGCAGGATGCAAATTGGAATCCCACTGCTGTAAGGGCCGAGGCATTTTTGTTATACCCTGTAGCTCATTTTGCTTATATAAGTTTCCATAGATACAAATGAGATTAAAAGTTTTAAAAAAAACCTCTTATGATAAAACCCAAATGTTGATTTTAGTTTGATAACTATCTTAAAAAAACATTTCTTCTGATAGCACCTGGTTGTTGATGTTCCGTATTGTTGTGTGTGTGAACACAACTTGTTTTCTGCTCCTTTCTGTCCACTCCACTGATAAACAGCTCCAGAGGAAGGCAAAACTCCTTTATTGAGATTGGATGTAATGGCAGAATTTTGCAAGTCTGATATAGGTATCATACTGTACATCTCTCCCTTCCTTATGCTCCTGTGAACTAAGGAAATGTCTGAGCCTCTTCTAAATACGATCTGTTTGAGCTGAACTTCCTATACATATTTGCGTATAAACCAATCCTCACATTTTTAGCAAAAATACCATGAAAAATATACCAACTGTTGATAAGCCAATGATAAAGATGAAAACATACGTACATACTTTTACTCTTTACAGCCTGACTTTCTTCTCTCCACAGCATTTTGCCCTTTTGCTCAAATATATCATCCAAGTCGCAATTCCTGATATCCCAGCCTGGGTTGCAGAAGAGATGGCTAAACTCGAATACCAGAGGCGGGAAGCCTTTAAGGTGAGTCTCACAAGAGAGATTGCATAACGTGGAGCTCTCTCTCTCTCTCTCTTTTTTTTTGGAGGGGAATATAGGTAGTCCTCCGTAAGATGGTTTTAGTCTGGGTTGTCCATTTGGTTTAAGGTTTTTTTTTAAGCTGGTTTGTTACGGTTTTTCAAGTTCAGGTGGTCCTTGATCTAAAACCACAGTTGAGTCCAAAATTCCTGTTCCTAAGTGAGACAATTGTTAAGTGGCTTTTGCCTCATTTTATGACCTTTCTCGCCCGAGTTCTTACGTGAAACACTGCAGTTGTTGGAGTTAGTAACACGGTTGTTCCATGAATCCGGCTTCCCCATTGACTTTGCATGGCAGTAGGTGACAAAAGGTAATCTTATGAGACTCTGGGACATGGCAACCGTCCTAAATATGAATCAGTTGCCAAGTGTCTTGAGTTTTGATCATGTGACCCTGGGGATGCCGCAACCGTTGTAAGGGTGAAAAACGATCATAAGTCAGTTGTAACTTCAAACGTCACTAAATGAACTGTTGTAAATCAAGGATTACCTGTACACTAGTCTGAGTCCATTGGAGTTGGGCAGCTAATAAATTCAAAGAAATAAATAATAATAAAAAGCTAGATTCTTGGAAAGGAATCTAGATTTATTGAAAGGGGGAAAATGGTTATTTAAAAAAAAATTCCTGGAAACTGGAAATGTGTACTTAGGCAGTGGTGGGATTCAAAAAATTTTTTACTACCGATTCTTTGAGCGTGGCTTGGTGGGCATGGGTGTCTTGGTGGGAGTGGCAGGAGAAGGATACTGTAAAATCTCCATTCCCTCCCCACTCCTGGGGAAGGATACTGTAAAATCCTCCCCACCCCACTAACCTGCTTCCCAGCTCCATTTTCCTGTGCAGGGCAACAAAAGAAGACCAGCTGATCAGGTGGGACTCAATGGGAGGCAGAGAATAGATGGGGGCGGGGCCAGTCAGAGGTGGCATTTGCCGGTTCTCCAAACTACTCAAAAATGTTCGCTAGCGGTTCCCCAGAACTGCTCAAAACCTGCTGAATACCACCTCTGTACTTAGGCCTCTGTTGACCAGTGAGTAGCTACGATCCTTTTGATCGTCTTTTAAACTGACTCAATCAAAAAGGATATTATCTCCCAGTTGTCACAAATGAAAAGAATCTCTTCCTGCCCCGCTGTATTTTGCAAGTAGCTGTTCCCACTCCCCAATAATTCCATTTACTTATTTGCAAATTACCCATCATTGCATTTGATTTAAGAATGTGACCTTTAAGGTCAAGTCAAGCAGTAAAGTATGGGGCGCAATGGCAACTTATAGGATAATGCGTGCTAATTTCAGAGCTTGTGTCCTTGCCCCACCAGGTGATCACCTTTTGGAAGGATAGTTTAATGAAAGTAGTCCTTGATTTACAACTGTTCATTTAGTGAATATCTGAAGTTATAACGGCACTGAAAAAATAACTTATGACCATTTTTCACACTTAATGACTGTTTGTAGTATCCCCATGGTCATGTGATCAAAATTCAGACGCTTGGCAACTGACTCATATTTATGACAGTTACAGTGTCTCAGGGTTATGTAATAACTTTTTGTGGCCTTCGACAAGCAAAGTCAACGGGGAAGCCAGTTTCACTTAACGACCGTGTTACTAATTTAACAAGTGCAGTGATTGCCACAATTGTGGCAAAAAGGTCATAAAATGGGGCAAAACTCATTTACAGACTTACAGATTAATCAGAGTTGGAAGGGACCTTATAGATCATCTAGTCCAACCCCCCGCCCAAGCAGGAGACCCTACACCATTTCTGATAAATGGCAGTCCAATCTCTTTGTAAGATTGGACTCATTTAACAACTGGCTCACTTAGCAAACAGAAATTTTGGTCTCAATTGTGGTCATAAGTCGAGGACTACCTGTAGTGTGTGGACTTACGACCACAACTGAGCCCAAAATTTCTTGGTTAAGCTTTGGTTAATTTTGCCCCATTTTACAACTTTTCTTTGGCACAGTTGCTAAGTGAATCCCTGCACTTGTTAAGTTAGTAACCCGGTCGTTAAGTGAATCTGGCTTCCCCATTGACTTTGCTTGTCGAAAGGTTGCCAAAGGGGAATCACGTGACCCTGGGACACTGCAACCGTCATATATGTGAGTCAGTTGTCCAGCATCCGAATCTTGATCATGTGGACCAGGGGAAATGCGACGCTGGTTGTGAGTGCAAAAAATGGTCATAAGTCAGCCTTTGTCAGTGCCATCGTAACTTTGAACGGTCACTAAACCAACTGTTGTACGTCAAGGATGGCCTGTCTTAAAAAAACAAAGGGGATAATAAGAGCCCCGTGCCCCTGATTTTACCCTGTGTGTGAAAAAGGACAGAAACTCTTCAGGAGAGAAAAGAAGGGGAAGTTGTGGGAGGCTGCAAAGAAGTGAGACGATTAATTCTTGTGCCGCTATTCCTCCCCAGAAGCATGAACGACAGGCCCAGCACCACTTCCAACAACAACAGCGTCGTAAACGGGAGGAAGAGGAGCGTCAGCGCCACGCCGAATATCATGCCCGGAAAGAACGGGAGAGCAGCCGGGAGGAAGGCAAGGCTAATAGTGGTGGGCAGGATCCTGGACACGAGAAGAGCCAGCCCAAAGGGAAGGGTTCAGGAGGGTCGAGCCACGGATCCGAGAAACCCAAACGGCCCAGCTCCCTCCTGGCCACCAACAACGTCATGAAGCTCAAGCAGATCATCCCTCTACAGGGCAAGTTTTTATCAGGGAGCACGGGGGCAGCTGGCACCGGGACGGCCCGCTTACCCCAGTCCCCCACTAGTACTGATAACAAACTACCTGGGTTCCTTAGTTTCAAGTTCCTTAAGTCCCCAGAGACAAAACGGGAAGCCAACACCGAGAAGGTGCAGTCACCCACTAAGCCTTTCAACCCCAGCAAACTGTTCAACTTCACCAAATCCGAAGGGGGCAATGGGGCATCGTCCCCTCCGCGGCCCGGCCCTTCGGCAGATGCAGGCGAAAAGCCTTTGGCCAGCAGATCCCATCTCAACGGGTTGGCAGATGAGGAAGTGTCTGAGGACCTGGAGATACGAACAGTGGTGGAGGAGGAGGGGCCGAGCCACAAACTCTAACCAAGATGTTAGGGCGTGAGAGCTGGGAAGAGGGATGAAGAGGGAAGGCGTGGGTTGCTAGTTGGTTCCTCAAGCAGAACTGGGGCAGCCTCTGAGTCGAGTTGGGAGAGGTCTGCTGGGTCTTTCAGCCCCTTTCCAAGCAATTTCAGGGCAGCCCTTGCTGAGATTTACACTGGGGAAAAAGAAAGTTGAAGATGGTTCCAGGGAGGCTTTGATGGCTTTGACCAGGAGGCTCAGTTCTGATATGGATGGTTATTGATCTAAGTCAGATTTTAAACCGAGAATTCCCAAAAGAATAAGGAAAGCAAAGGAATTGCAAGTTAGAAGTGAAGGATATGGAGCAGAGGGTAGAGGGGACTTCCACTAACCTTTAACAGGTTATTTTACATATCTTTCTCCTTATTTTATCAGAGCTTGGGCCAGGAAAGCATCCTAGATTTTCTAAATGTTAACCCACATTCAGAATTTCCAGATGCATCTCTGTCTTTAACCCGGATGGACAAGACTGCAAAAAAGTTGGTGCAATGCTTTGTTTAAGAAGTCACAACCTTTAATCTTTAACCTTTAATGACCTTTAAGTCATTAATCTTCATTGGAGTGTTTTTACTTTCCCTCCAAGAGCCCTTTCAGGTATTAGATAGAATTTCAGCCATAGCTAGTGTAGTCTTTCCCTGGATGTAAATATTTTGAAAAGAGAGACACAAATACTAGAATCTGATGGGAGGAAGCTTTGCATTACTTTCCCCTCCTTCCATTTAAATCATAGATCAGGGGTGTCCAACCTTGGCAACTTTAAGACTTGTGGACTTCCTGCCCACCAGCAAAGCTGGCTGAGGAATTCTGGGAGTTGAAGTCCACAAGTCTTAAAGTTGCCAAGGTTGGACACCCCTGTCATAGATGATCCCCACACAGTCCATTTCTGCTTGAAGAACAGCCTGATGTGGCAGCAAAGCATAGGATTTTGAGGAGGCTGGAAGGGGAGAGGGAAGATTGGAACCATTGTCCATGCATGATTGACATCTCTTGCACTAAAACTGAACAAAAAACCCACAGTGACTTTCATGTTTCCGAGACAAAAGCTACAGCAGTCGATCAAAAAGAAAGAAAGAAAGAAAGAAAGAAAGAAAGAAAAAGAATTGGGGCAAGTAGCATTAAGCGTCTTCGGAACAAAGATCTACCACCTATTTTCTTTCTACAAACTTAGTAATAAAGAAAACAAGAAATAAAGGGATGAGGGGATAAAAATCTAATTTGGAAGGCACTATTATTAATGATTATTAATTTTTTTGCAATAAGGACCTTGACCTGTGACAGGCTGTGCCAAGGAAATTTTTCTCAATTTGCCGCTTAATCGGGAAAGCAGATATAGGTAGTCCTCAACTTACAATCACCATTGGGATCGGAGTTTCCATCACTAAGTGATATGGTCATAAAGTGAGACACGCCCTATTTTTATCACCTTTTGCCATGGTCATCAAGGAAATCGCTCAACTGTTAAACTAATCTGGCGGGTTTCCCACCCCACCCCGCCCTATTAACTTTGCTTGTTGGTAATCCTCTGGGAAGATCACTATGGTGATCTCATAAATCTTGTGGGACACAGCAACTGTCGTAAGTACACCCTTCTTGCCAAACGCACAAATGACTATGAGGCTGCTACAACAGCCCTAAGTGCAATGGCTGGTCACAAGTCACTTCTTTCAGCGCCATCATAATTTTGAACAGTTGTTAAACGAATGGTCCTAAGTCAAGGATTACCTGTAAATTGAGCTAATAGAATAATGACTTCATTGAGAAATCCATGCAGTTGGTCTTGCCAGAATATGGAAGAGTTCTCTGCTGCCGCTGTTGCTGCCTTCTGAAATACTTCTTTCAGATTCCGTGTCCATCCTGGACACCGGGGATTTCCCGGTCATTTCTTTACCAATATTAACCATATTAACCAGTTCAGACCTGCTTGGCTTTTTAAATATGTAGGTGCACCCACTTGCTGAGTTGAGAGGGAAGAGTTTGAGCTAAAAGATAGAAAATCCAGAATGAACATCGAAATAAATAGGAGAGAGAGAGAAGGGAATTTTCTCATTAATCTGCCTCAAGTAGATAATAGCTGTAGTCATCACCTTCAGGAACGTTCTAACACTTTGGAAATGGGGTGGGTAAGAATTTTTTTTTTCTTTTAATCAGGTAGTGTGTCTTCGCCCTGCGGCCTAAATTTCTCACAACTGGTCTGAATAGGAAGGGTGAGGGGAAATCCTCCCTTTATCTGGCAGCCGCTTTTAAGATGCAAATCAGTGTCAAAAAAACTTGTCTTTTTTTTTTGTTTCTTTAAAAAAAAACCAATTGACCCCCCCAGCCAAAATATAGCAGCATCCCTTGATTTCCAGGCTTTGTAGAATCTCTGAACGTAGTTTTGTTAAGCAGGAGGGCTGTTGCAGAGAACAGGCATGGCCTTTGCTCACCCCCCCCCCCAAAAAAAATCTCACCCGACTTAAGTGAGCTGGAAGTGGCCAACTTAGCAACACAGATTTACGGAGGCAGCATCTCGAGCTTTTGTCGGCTTCCCCAAATTAAAGGAAAACTGCTTTGTCTTTTCTTTACTAGTCCAAAGGAGCCGGTCGCTTTGCAGGACCGAAAAGAAGTGACTCTAAAGGAAGGGATTTCTCTTGTCTTCTATACACAACCCCGTCCTTCTCCGGAGCAATTTGCCATCGCCGCAATACATAACTGACTGCTAATACATTTGCTCCTCACAAGCCATTGTAGTGATAAGGTTGGAGAGGGATTTCCAACAGGTGCTGGCCACCTTTCTGGCCTGCTCCCCCCCCCCCCCCCCAAAAAAAAAGCCCTTAGAGGATTTTCAACTACTAAATCCTCCAAGGGGGGGAAAAACAACCAAAAAAACCCCACCCCCCAATAAGTGAGCTCCGATGTCTCTCCTCCGAATCACTCCTTTGCCTGATGGTGAAGCCAAGTGCTGGCCTAGCTGTATTTTCACCCACGCCAGAATGCCAAAAAAAGGGGACTGACCTGCATGGCTTTGATGCTCAAAGCTTTCTCTCTTTCTTTTTTTGCGGTGGCATCACTTTCAAGCTGTTTCGCAAGAGCAATAACACAACGCTAGCAGCTACCAAGTCCATTGCTGGATGCCAGCTCCATTGGATGGGTGCCAAGGAAATAACCAGGAGAGAAAGACTGGTATGCTGCTGGCTTGGACTCCTCCGGGACACGTGTGGGTTTTTCACCATGGCTTTTCTGTCTCTTCTATCAAGTTGGCAGAAGAGAACCCCACTCGCAGCTCTTAGCTGTGACACCAAGGATTATTCTCTGCTCTTGGTGGACCTGCCTGCGTTTCATTCCCTAGCTAAAATGGACCACTTTCATTCTGCTGAATGGTTGGAGTACTAGAGGTCACCCGGATAATCAATCCATTCTCCTTCTGCTTCTTCACTGCCTAAGCACGGAATGCGTTTTCCCAGTGACCCAGCCGGCGTTCATTCATATTTGCCATGCCCAGCCAACCAAAGCTTAGCAAAATGGGGGCAGTTCACAGAAAGGCATGACTTGAATGCACCATGAACCCTCCCAAGCCAGATGGGATTTGAGGTGGGCAGGAAGGCTCCCTTCTCCTCTCGTGCCCTTCCAATTCTGCAGCACCCTAGGCCCAACTCAGATACTGAACTCAAGAGTACCTACAAAAGCACTGGTCTCTTTAATGTCTTACTCTTCTTGAGCAATTCACTGTACCAGAGGGGATTTTTTTTTTATAAAAAAAACAACGGGAGGAAAGCAAAGGGGACTATTTTTATTTATTGATTGATTTGCTGCATTCTAATTTATTTCTGTGACTTGAAGACAAGAAGGGTGGGAGAATCTCAATTTCTTTTTGAGTTATTTTTGTAAATTTGGCAGAAATGCAATAAAATTATATTTCAACAAAAGGAATAAAATTCGGGTCAGGGCGGGGCAGACACCAGCAGCTTCTTCAGCATTTATTTATACAAGGCCCTCACCAATAACTTTTTGCTACACTCACAGGATACATTATAAGGAGATTTAATTTATATGTCACCCATCTCATCGCCCAAGCGACTCTGGGTGGTTAATCTGAAACCTGTCGAATTTGATTTAGTCAGCCCTATATATTGTTATATAAATTGTGACTTTACAAGGGCCACTCCCTTGGCTGGTCCACAGAAAAGGCTGTGTCAAATTCAAGCCATGGTACCACCTACTGCCGTGCATAAAAGCAGCCAGTGCCTTAAAATTCTACCTTTTAAGGCAATTAGTGAGGCTTCAAGACAGCTTTAAAAATAGGTTTCCTGAAGTTTAATTTGATTATGTGCATACAGCGAGTATGAGAATGTGTATAACTTGTGAATCAGAGGTGTAGATTTGCATGTGCCTTCAAGTCAGTCTTGACTCCTAGTGATTGCTTGGAGCAGCCTTGTCAAGGTTTTTCAGAAGTGGTTTGCCATTGCCTCCTTTTTAAGACTGAAAGAGTGATGGGCCCAAGATCTCCCTGTTCGCTTTGTGCTTAAGGTGGCACGACACAAGATTCTCCCGTTTTTTTAGCCACTGCACCAAACTGGCTCTTTTAGAAATATAACCATATGTTAATTGTGTTGCTGGAGTTACACTTTGCAACTGCTTAAAATAACCTTTGGTGACCCTGATCCAGCTAAAAGCAATCTGGCTTAGTCTCTTGGGCTAAGCAAGAGATCTTTTTAGGGCACATTTTGAACTTTGAGAATATGGCACATGTTCCCACAAAATCTCTTTGGGGGAAGAGGCTGCCCACTCACAGAATGGTTGACATGAGGGATGTGAGTCCTTCATGCAACCTTTTCTGCTGGAGGTGGTACTCTGCTAGGCAACAAGCCTATTGCTCACTTCTTTAACTAAAGGGTTTCCTAAAAAATTGTCCGATGACCCATGGAATTTTATGGGTTCTATGAAAGGCGTTGAGGTGAATACGGACAATCCTAGAGTTAACGCCATGGATCATTATGTTAAAATACAGCCAGATTCTAGGTCTCAACTGCAACAATTCTTGGCAGCCACTATTTTTTGCTATAGTCTACTGGTTATCTGTGTTTGCAGCCCTAATTCAGCTGTCCTATCTTAGGTATCAGAGATTTGTCAGATCTTGGGAACTACAGAAATCTACTCACTGTTTTGATTATATTCTATCAAATTCAAAGACTTATAGCAACCACAGACAAATCTTCCAGAATGATCTTCCCTAAAACTGACCCTTCGTGTCTTTATTCATTCATTTGGGTTCACTTTATGCAAAAAAAAACAACCCACCATTCATATTTAACAGACACTGGGTTTAGCTGATCCCTCTTTCCTTTTATTAATCGACACAGCTATAGCAAGCTGGGTTTGTGCATTTTGTTGAGTCGAAACCAAACCACTCGTATTATGGTTTATAGATTGGAAGGTAAAAGAATTTCACAGTGAAATTAATGCACAGCCAAACAAGAAAGCAAAGTCATGAGCTGCCTGCCACCCCAAATCTGATGTTCTCGCTCTGTCATTTGAAACTAGGACCCTGTTGGCTTTGCACTATGTAATCTTACAGCTATGAATTGGGCAGGCCATGGTTCCAGTTCCACAATCACATATTGCCGTTGCTGACAAACAAAGTTGAATGTGTTGATGGTATACTACAAAGACACTGTTTTTCAAGCCACATAAAGTCCTCATATATATATATAAAATTCCAATCAAATTAAGTAAAAAGATTAGTTTTACTTTTACATTTAGAATTTAGAAATCAACAGAGTACATTCTTCAAGTGGGGCAGAATCCACTAAAACCAAATTATGTTTCCTAAATTACAAAGTATTGCACATGCATAATTTGAAATGCATCAATACAGCTTGCAGAATTCATCAAAACACACCATCATCTGACTTGGTGCACAGTGTGAACTAGGCCCATTGGGGATTCCCCCCCCCCCCCAATCTGTATTAAAGATGATGCTAGTTTATTACTTGGCAATGAAAACATTTGGATACTGCTTTTCACTGTAAAAACCTAGCAGCGATTACAACTATCACAAAAAAGAAGGTAAAAAACATCCATTAAAAGAATTAGGGAGTTTTAGCTATTGAGAAAGGGTAACATAAAAAGGATGCACTTTTACATTGAGATAAAATATACCAGAGTTGGGCTCTTTGAGTGCAATTTATTTGATTTTTTAATCCCACCTTTATTTTATAAAGTGGCTAACATGCACAATGCGCCTTCCTTCTATTTTCCCACAACAACCCTATGAGGTGAGTTGATCTGAGAGTGAGTGACAGGCCCAAAGCCACCCAGCTCCATGCCTAAGGTGGGACTAGAACTCACAGCTTCCCAACACCTTAACCTCTACAGGAAGCTGCATCAATAAAAGATATTCCACAGGACTCACGCTAACTCAAGAGACTAACCACATCCATACCATCCTGTGACAGCTTGTGTTGGGTGGGGAGCTATGGCCCTTTTATGACTTGTGGACTTCAATTCCCAGAATTCCTGAGCCAGGGCTGGCTTAGGAATTCTGGGAGTTGAAGTCCACAAATCATAAAAGAGCCATAGTTCCCCACCTCTGGCTTATATGAATAAACCGTTATATCTAATTCACCTAATCCACACATCCTTCATACATACATTCTTCACTCCTTTTTTTTTTACAACTATCCCTAAACCAAGTCAATCTGCTTTGATGCCCAGACATGACATTGATGCAAAAAGACCAAGGGTGAGGTCACACAGCTTGCTTACTGAGCCAAAGGATATTGGCCAAGTATCACTTCTGTAACGAGCATACCAGTTACTAAAACAGCCAGTCCACTATTTTATTTGCCTGAGAAATCAGAAATAGTTTTCATTTGTTAGTTAGGTTCCCAATTGACTTAAGGACAGGTGACCATAGTGAGAGGCTGCCAATCAGAAGATATGACTGTAGCCCAACTGACAATTACTTAGAATAAGGCAGCTCATGTCGCCTTGGCTTAAAATGTTAAAACACTTCAAAATTAAGCACTTCACTGCACAAAAGTGGGGTAGGCAACCTTTCTGCTTTCAAATCTATGTTCCTTCTGGATAAACTGTTGTGGGCCATGTAACAGGATGAATGGTTGGGTCCAGAGCTTTTTTTTTTTTATTAAAAAAAGTGGGGACTAAAAGTGCGCAGAATTATTTATAAGGTTAAAATGTTTTGGTCGTACAGATATTCCAACCTTAGAATGAGTATTCTGCCTTGTACCAATCCTACCAAGAGCATTCCAACTTCAAATCAGATTTAGGATCAATTTCAAAATCAAGGCAATGACCTTGAAACGTTTTGCAAACATCTGACAGACACACATTCTCTGACACGCACACTTCTCTCTTTCAAGCAGCAGGCTGCAAGAAAGGACGCTGACCCCTTACCAGGGATCTGATTTCTTGCACGAGGGGTTTGCAACTAATCTCGGAACTGCAGGCAGCTCCAGAAAGCCATGTTGCTGGCCCTTGGCCTAGAGTTTCCAACAAGAGTTTTTTTTCTTTTTTAAAACAAGAACTCGTCGAAAGTGGTGAGAAATATCCCGCTTTATTCTACTTGAAAAGTTGCACAGAACTGGTCCGTCCAAAGAGTGGTACCAAAGAGATGCCGGGAAGCCCAAGTGGGTTTTTGTTTGCTATCTACGACCCGATGTGCTAATGAGTTTCCCAGGGTGAGAGGGGAGCCAGAGGGTGGGGAGGAGGAGGACAGGCCAGAGAAGGTAACATGATAACACAACATTTGCCAGCAAAATGGGTACAATCTCCACTAGAGATCATCAGCTGAAGAGAGACCACCACAAACAACCTGACCCCACCTCTCACTGTTGCTGGAATATAGAAAATGGTATGCAGGAAGGAATATGCCCAGAGAAGGATGGGTAAGAAATAAGCATTCCGACCCCAGCCCCCACCTTACGAGTTCCTCCTGTTATCGAAACAATGGTAAGTCATGACACACCAGTAGTTGTACAGTAATTGTGAGATGGAAATTCTTGATAGTATGAACAGAGGAGACAATGCGGAGGGCGTGCCATCAGCATGAACTGAGCTCCTTCTTCAGAAAGCAGCTCCTTTCTCCAAAAAAAAGGGGGGGGAGGGGGTAGCCACAAAAGTGGATTTTTTTTTTCATGTTTTTTTTAAAAAAGCACTGATCACAGATTAAACATCATTACTTTCCGATTGGTTCTGAACTTGAGAGAGTGCGAGAGCGCGCACGCATAAATAATAAAAAAAAATGGAAAAAGAAACCTCCCTCCCGGACCCCAAAAATAAATACATTGGCTTCTACTAAGTCAGAAGTGGTATAGGCTGCACGACGGAGGGCAGGAGGAAGAGACGGGGAAGGCAGAGGGCTGACGGAAGTGTGCGTGAGTGTGTATGTACATGTGCGTGCCTGTGTACACACTGAAAGACACACAGAAAAAAATAAAAAAAATAAAACCCACACAGGAAGCGCCTGTAAATTTTAACACAGAAGACTGGAGAGAATTTTAAGTGTCCTCATTCATATCTTGGCTGTCTGTCCGGGCAATTTTGCGAGGTGGGGCAGAGTTTTCACCTTCTATTTCCACTTGCTCAGGATCTCTTTTCTTTGCTGCATTCTAACAGGAGGGGGGGGGGAAGACAAGAAAAATTAGATTGGTTTGACTCCCTCTCACTTCAAGCCTCCCAATCTTTGCTCAGAGTTTTTGAAATTGGATTCTCTCCCAAAGCAAACATCAGATATCAATTTTGCTTCCAGTAGATTTCCGATAGTGCAAACAAGCAAGCAAAACATGGTACGCTAGAAGTTGCTTATTAATTATCCCAAATGGGATTTCACTAGAGATACGGATCTATAAGTCGTTTTTAACCCGCTATCCTCCCTGTACATTTTCTAACATGCATACACACTAAGAATGGTACTTGACAACAATTCTCACAAAAACCCCTACCTTTTTGTCCCACTGCTGATGTAAGTAACGCAAGAGTATATTTGTCTTTTCTGTGACAATTACTGTGGAAGAAAGACAAGAAAAAAAATGATCAGTACAGAATGAAACAAATCCACAAGGAAGCATTGCAAGGTTCTGGACTCCACTGACTGTAGTATTATGGGGGGGCAGAGGTTGCTTGCTTGGAGCTTAAACCAAGCACAGAGAAGGGCTGTCACTCAGCAGGGGAACTCCACATCTCACATGTAGAAAGGCACAGGTTCGATCCCTGGAGATCATCTCTCCAGCCCCCCAAAAGCAAGAAAATTATTTCCACGGGATCTCATGGAACTTGTGGCAATCAGGGAAGGTGCAATTCTGACTACAGAACAACCGGTTCCATCAGAAGTAGAGGCGCCATTAGCCTTATTCAAGACCAAATAATGAAAATACAGGTAATCCTCAACTTACAACCATTCATTTAGTGACCGATATTACAATGGCACTGAAAAAAGTGATTTAATGAAAAAAGTGATTAATGATCAGTCCTTGCACCTAATAATCATTGCGGCATCCCCACAGTCACTTGATCAGAATTCAAGCACCTAACAAACTGGCAATGCAGTTGTGATGGTTGCAGCGTCCTGTGGTCACGTGATCAGCATTTATAATCGTCCCAGCTGGCTTTGGACTACCTGTAATAAAACCACTCTTCTATCGGGAAGAGTAGCCCCCTCCACTAGACGCTCTTAGGATAAGGCATGGAAATTCTACTCTAATTCTCACATTTCTCTTCCCGCTCTTCTCCTCTTTTGTATTAGGCCTATTAAATATTGCAGACTTTTGTCTTTTCATAGCTTTACGGCATGTAAAAAGTCAGCATTTTTCTGTCCACATAAATCAGCAGCAGCATATAATCCTTGTTACAGGGGTTAAGGGTTTGGGCTAGAAATCAGGAGTTTGGTCCTTCCCTAAGCATGGGCGATTTGGGCGAGCCATTCTTTCAGCCCAACCCACCTTGCAGAAAGAAAGAAAGAAAGAAAGAAAGGAAGGAAGGAAGGAAGGAAGGAAAGGGAAGGGAAGGGAAGGAAGG